ACGAAGGAAGCGGGGGCGACGCGATTCAGGCCCGAAAACGCCGAAGATGGTCAGGACCGCACGCCGCGGGACAGAGAAAAGAATGAATTGCAGCAGAGTGATCCGGTATCTGGATTTGCTTTTTTCAGGATCATCTACTCACAAGAACAGCAGCTGCAATTTCATGTCTTTTTAAATGCGCATTTGCTGCTATAATTCTTTGGCTACGATCGCGAAAGTTTTTTTTTGGGTTTGAAACCAACACCAATGGAATGTGTCCGAACGAATACGTTTTTTTTTTGAAATGAATCAGATTGCTTTCGAGCTTTTCCTTATCGACTGTGACGACCTGCGGCTTCGGACGATCCAATTCTACAACTACCCACTCCGGCCAGATATGCAACTTGACATCCACATGCACATTGTGGCATGATGAAATAAGATTTCGAGGCAATCCGCGTCAATGCAAATTTTCTGCAGCTGCGGCTGCAACTGCGGGTGATGCATGAGTGCAACTACTTGTGATCGTAGGTAAGTAGATCCTACCTAGAACTACATCGACTTCTCTTTATGGCGGGATTTTTTTGATGCGCAACTGCACAGAGCCAGCAGAGGCTAGGTCATGGCATTGGCTTGTTGCAAGAAACTGTTTATTATTTCCCGCGCCACCCACAACTTGTCATGTTTTCGTTTTCCATCGATTCCCCCCGAGCTCTTCAAAGGAAAACTTCTCGGCGCAGCGACGCACGGGCCCGAGCTCGACTACGTTCTCGCTGCGGACGGGGATGGGGTAGACGCCGCAGGCATCGGCAACAGTCCGGGACCGGGAAAAGAGGAACCTATGGATGTGTCAGAGTTGAAATCGACAAAGTTGAAATAATTTGTCGTGCATAAAATGCATGACCCGAGGCACGTGCGTTGCAGAGCAGGCAAGTGGGGCCGATGAGTTTGGACGTGCCCGGGGATGATGGTGATGGCTTCGGTCCGCTTGACTCCGCGACCTGGTGGCCGAACCACGTGCGGTTCGGTGCCCTTACGGGTTGTGTAGTGGTTTCGGTCGGTTTAGCATTACAAATTATTTCAACTTTGACGATTTCAAACCTGACGCTTCCATAGAACCTGGCAGCTTCTTAGACGATTCCGAAAACGAGATGGATATTGACGCAAATCCAAATGCGAAGAACAAAAAGAACGACAAGAAAAGTACAGAGGGGGCAAAGAACAAGTTGGCAGTAGAGCAAAAAAAGGAACATCAAAAGAAGCCCAAGCCGAAGCAGTTACAACTCCTAGTTGGTAATGGTATTGAACAACAAGCAGGCTCTGCGGCATCCTCCCCATACGACCGATCGCCGAAACATGCAATGAAGGCTTTAACTACGGGATGCGGAGGTCCGAAACACAAAGTGGGTCGCTACTCGGTTTTTGACCAGATCCGGTGCTCGGAACCTTGCTACGACGCTTGCGACGGGCTGGGACGTCTCTCCGTCCGACGGTGCAAGCTCGACATCTGCGGCCCGGTGAAGTTTTTTCGCGAAGCCCCGCAGCAGGTGTTCTTCGTCCGCGTGGTGCAGGCAGAGCAGCAGTGGCGGGTGTGGCGGAAGGTGGACTGTCCCGCGGAAAGAATCTTGCGCCGGGAGTTTGAGCGGTTGAACTGCCGGTTTGAAGGACAAAGACGATCTACTTCATCTTGGACCACTTCTACACAGGATCCTGGGCTAGAGGAGAATTTTAGGGACGAACAAATGCCACCGGGCAATGGAGCTGATCAAGGCGGGGCAACTGCGAATGATGATGACGGTGATTCTTTACAAGATGTAAGGGACGACGGGCTCTTGATGAGTGACGAAGAAAAGGATCATGACGATGCTGAACGGGATGTTGCGCCAGTCATTTTTCCTAATCCCAATTACCCCCTTTCGCAGCAGAATGTGGTCAGCAAAGTTGACCAGCACGCGATCTTCGACCCGCGGATGATTAATAGAACGGGGGCTGTTGATGATGGAGCTGCCAAGGTTACCAACATGAATCCGCCCGCGTTTGCACCTCCAGGGAGGAACAAGAAGCGGGGTACTACAGGTAAAGACATCAGCGGGAAGATGACCTGTCATCAATTACAGACTTCAGCATCTAGTTCGGCACCACTTGCTCAGGTCGTGGACATCAATTCAGCCCGTCCACCGCGTTCCCTCCTTGCTGGGCCCAGTGTCGTGCTCGAGCAGGCACCGGAGGATCTGCTGGAGGGCCACAATACGGATGTTTTTCCCACCAGTCTACCCGGCTTCGGCGCTTCGCGGGTAAGCAACAGTCTCGTGATAGATCGCGAGCCCGATGAGGAACAGCTGCACTACGGCGGGAGAGGTGGTGGTAGCAAAAGTAGTTCCTCTAGCTCGGCTTGGCAGCGAGCAGATCAGTACAATCAGCAGTTCTTGTTGCCGGGGAACTCGTCTCATCTCGCCGGTGTTCATCCGGTTCTGGCGCAAAAGCACAAACTACAACCCATGGACTCTCTCCTTGGGCCTGATGGAGGCGGAGTTGAGCAGCTGATCTTACCGTCGCGCATTGCTGCTCCATCGGCTTCGTCATCTTTTTTTCCGCCACAGGACCTTCACGGTCAGCAACAGCCTGTTCTTTCAGTTGATGATCAGAACAAGAAAAAAATGAACAAAAAATCCACTACAAGAGGACCTCAGGGTCCGATCTCGTCCCTCAAAAGCGAGGCGTCCAATAGAGGCCGGATTGCACAGGAACAAGGCCCTCGCAGTAGTACCAGTAGCCGCGCGCGGAGCATCATCGAGCAAGATGAGGCCGCCGAGCTGCAGCAACTGCGCAACGCCAATACACTGGAATTTGAACTCGACGCGACGCCGACCCCGCGGGAAGGCGAGGACCAAAAGGAGCCCGTCGGGTTTGTTGCTGAATCTCAACAACAGCAGCAACAAAAAGGCGACATTATCGATGTTGAAATGGACCAGTCGCAATTATCCCAACAGCTTGGCGCAACGGCTCCTGCTGGAAGTGGACCTGCACCTACTGCGACCGCACAGATCAAGAAAGATCGACGAGAAAACAAGAAAAGCGTCGCTTTCGAGGGTCGCCACCGCATGTCTGCCGCCAGTTTCTCGTCTTCGAATTTGTCGGGATCCCCAAAAAGTAGAGAAGTGCAGGATGAAGATGTCGATATGTTGAATGGCGAGGGGGAGGGGAGTTTTTACGATGCAAAACAGTCAAAGTCCTTTGTGCCTCTGGACAGCCTGCAGGCGGCAATGGATCACGACGGGCCGCTGTTTCAGAAGGACTACGCCTTCAAGCAATTGATCCTGCAGGAGCTAGAACCGTACTTCGAAGAACTGTTGCGGGAAGAGGAAGACGGAGGTGGAGAACGAGAAGAGCGGCAGGATGATTTTTTCGACGAAGAAAAAAATTTAAACTACAAGGATGAGAGCGACATCTTCACCTCCTTGCATGATGAATTACAAGGCAAAGACGCAAAAGGCGCCACATCTTTCGAAGCAGGTGGGACTAATGCATTTGATGCACCACCTACTACAGGTGGATCTGGATCAGGAAAAAAAGTGGATGTGGAAGGCGCCCCAGCAGAAGCAAAGGCAGTACAGGAAAGTAAGAAACGGATTCTTCAGAACAAGCTGCGAAGCGCCGTGTCCAAGATTTTCCGCCGTTCTCGGCAGTCCGTGGCGCATACGGAAATCCAAAAATTTCTGCAGGATTTGAAGCGACAGGTGGATGGGAACTTGATTTTTGATAGCGCAAGAGAAGCAGCAGGCGCAGGTGACAATCGCGACACCACCGGAACTACAGCGCTCGACGCGGCTGCGTCATATGGATCACAACGACGTCAGCCGAGTACTAGATCGATTTCCTTGCGGGCAGCTCCTCAAGAAGAGGACCTCGCAGGAGCCGGTGGGCCACTATCGGTGATGAATTCCAACTTTTCTTTTGGGAAGGCGTTTCGGTCGCTGAACGCAAACGCCGGCATGACGTTTAACTTCGACAACATCGACGTGGATGATCTCGGCGGACAGGACCAAGAAGAACTCGGCACTGGAATGAGTGACGAGCGGCAAGAACGGCTGCAAGAGGCCGGCGAAAGAGGTTTTGAATTTGATGAAGGTCAGCATCAAGGGCCTTTATTTGAGGGTGACCACTTTGCCGGTGTTTCGTCCGACGATGCGCCGAAAGCGAAAAAACCTCCGATGAAGATGCGGAACGCGCCGAACAAGAGAAAAATCGCGGACGACCACGACACGGACAAAATTGAAAACGATGGCGATGCAGCGACCACAAACTACAATCTGGTGTTCGGCAACGGAAGAGGGCGAAGAAGGAAGACCCTGATAACCACCGCCAAAGGTGCTGACACCAATGGCAACACGACCACATCGATCCAAAATGGCTCTCCGGATCCTGCTGCGGCTGCTTCCTCAGCGGTCTTCACGCCAGCTCCGCTACCGAGTCAAGGAGCATTTTTCGCGCACGAAGGTGCGGGCCAGCGAGAAGACGAGGCTGGTGAGCAGGAGGAGAAAGTGTGGGCAGAAGTTGCGCCCCGACCTGCGAAGCCGGAAGAGATGCGGTTTCACGAGTTGGTGAGGCAGAAACTGCATCAAATGCGGATCACGCGGCCGAGCCACATCGCGCAGTTGGAGGCAAGTATCTGCCAGGAGATTCACGATGAGTTTTTCAACTTCAACACGGCCGTGGAGTACGTCAAGCGCTGCCGCGCTTGTTACTGCCCACAGCACCAGTACTTGGTGTGCAGTAACCTAGAAGGCGGAAAACATGATCAGATGCAGACGGGATTCCTCTGCTTTGACAAAGAAACCACTCCATCTGAGGTGTTGGACGGTGCCGCGTCAGAGCGTTTTCGTTTTGATCTTGGTGGGGGTCTACTTCGAAAATGCGGCGGTGACCACGACGTCGAGACCCCTCATCTACATCATCTGCAGAATGAACTGCAAGAAGTTACGACTGCTCGCTCGACAGGTACAAAGCCATCTTCAAATCGACGAAGTGATGAAGTAGAAGTAGACCCGTCGCTGAGCTATCTCCAGGCCTGGAAAGATCGTTGTTTAAAGGAGAGAGAAGGGAAGACGGAGTACATGTGCAAGTACGAGTTGCGCCGACATCGACAACTAAAGCAGCAAGTAGAAGATGGAGATGCTTTAAGTTCGACCAAAAAGAACAAGCAGCGAGCTATTCTTGGTGTAGGAGGAGCTTCATCAAGTGCAATGATGAAAAAAAGCTCAAGTTCTACATCGTCCAATGGCGTGACTAGCAAAACTGCTGGAGGTAACAAGGTGAGTGCAGGAGCTTCGGCGCAGCTCCTGAAGGGCAAAGCAAGAGGTACTGCGCCAGCTGGTAAGAAAAGCGGTACTAGGACTAGCGAAGTCATCAAAGACGCCTCTCAGGAAAAGAAGAAACATGGTAAGAATTCGAGCCACCGTGGCATCAAGCCGATGGTTGCAGCGGAGAATCACGAGAAAGCTAGGAAGGTGTTGAAAATCAGGAGACTTGTGGAGAAAGAAGAAAAAGCTTTCGCCGCCAAGTACATTTTCAAAGCCGATTTGACAAGCACGGAGGCTACAAAACTGTTCTGTCTGGCCTTCAAGAGAACGCCAACGGAGAAGGAGAAAGTCCGCATCGAGCACATCCGGAGAATGTTGGTTTTGCAACACCAATATCAACCTCACGGTTCCTTCATGCGTGCCAGTACAACAGAAGCATCAAGAAGTCCTGGAACTGGAATGATAGAGCAAGAAGATCGGGTCGGCGGGGAACCCTACGGACATCGAGATCATACGGCTTTTGGTCGTTTCGAGTTTGGAAACCGCGGGCAGCACCTCGTCTCGTCGGCCTGTACATCGCGGTCGGAAAGTGAATTCGATCTCGATGTGGATGATCTTGAGCAGCGCGACAGTGTAACTGGTGATCACGCTCTGCTAGATCGAGGGGGTGAAAGCTCCTGCATGCCGCCAGCCCGCGGGCTACTGATGATGCAGCTACGGAACTACCTGCCACCGGAAACCACCAAGCCCTGCAATGCAGTAGAGATCGAAAATTACGTGAAGAAGCAGATAAGAAGCAACTACAGGGATTACGCTTACGGAACGCGTATGCCTATCGGGAATTTGAAAAAGTGGCGGTACGCTGGGCGTGGAGTATGGAAACAGTGCTGGAGAAACCCCGACGGAGAGGAGGACGAGGACTGGAAAGAGAAGCTCGACGAGGAAATCAAATACGAAAACATGCACTTGAATGAGAATGACGCGCAGAATGAAGTTCTTGATGATGGTGCTCTTGTAAAAGACCTGCAACCGGCGGATGAGGCTGCTGGGAAAAGTGAGACAAAGAGCACTGGAAAGAAGATGAAAAGCCCGGGAAAAAAAGGTGCTGAAGAACAGGACGAGAAGCGTGCTGATCATGTTGACAAGAAGCGCCGCCCGAAATCTGTCTCACCGAAAAAAACGACCAGGAAGACCCCACTGCTTCCGATCGGCATTCCGCTCGACCCATGGTTTAATAACACAGTCACAATACCAGAGTCAGATACAGCGGACCAGGGAAGGTTCCATCAATACCCAAGAGAGCCTTTTATCAGCGACTGGCACTTGGTGCGCCTTTTGCAGGGTAGCGGACATTTGCTGCGCGAATGGTCGGCGAGAAAAAGGGAGGCTGCGTTCTGGTACAAAGAGCACAGCGAGCTTTTGCGGGAACAGGACGAGGATTGTGTAGTTGAACAGGAGATGCAGGACGTCGTAACTACGGATGGTGGCGATGTCACCTCAGTCGTGCAGACCGGCAAAAATCTCAAGGGTGATATGATGGACGCGAGGCAGGATGTTGAGAGCGAGTCAGAACAAGAACACCAGCTCAACCAGGAGATGGCGCATCAGCAGCGAAAAAAATCTGAAGTGAAGCGCAATATCAAAGAAAAGCTGCGGCTGCAAGTAAGACAGAACAAAATGAAACAAGCCAAAGAGCGGTGCAATCTGTACGAAATGCTGACAAAAGAAAAGCATGGCACGAGGAGTACGTGGACCATTGTAGTGCACTGCAAGCATGTCTTGTCGGACGCTGGTATAGAAGATGAAAAAGAAGACGACCCCATCGTGCGGGAGCAACTGCGGGTTTTGCAGGCGCAGCTCGACAAGGAAAAAGCGGTGGCACTTGCAAAGAAAGTTATTAAGCCACCAGAAGAAGAAGCGGCTCGACAAGAAAGCGATATCATGGTGGATGAAGAACACAAACCTGCTTCTCCCGCCGGTCTCGAGGAAGGTGCTGTGATGAACAAGTCCAATCTGATATCCAGCAAAAACGCTGCGCCGCAAGGATTGCCACAGGCTCCTGCAGAGAAAAAGCGAAGGGGAAATACGAAGCTGCATAGTTGGTTCAGGAAGGACACATTGCCGCTTTTCACTTCCTCCGGAGGAGCAGGTAAAACAGCGCCGCTGATTCCATCGACAGCACGACATCAGCAGGCTGATGAAGATGACGAATTTGTGTCGCCCCGCCTTCCGCTAAAAACCAGTAAAGCAGAAGCGAATTCGCCGGGTACACTCGGTGAGGAAGACGAGCTTCAAACTCAGCAAGGAGAGGAGGACGTCGGGGGAGGTCGTGGAGGAAAAAAGAAATGGAAAACCCGACAACGATCGGAGCTTCACGAGCTGCGGGCAACCGAGTGGAAGGCAAAACTTTCAAAGTGGGAGGAAAGTTTGCGACTGACAGGTCGCTACTTGGTGAAACCGCATTGGCACGACGATGTGTCCGATTCCGTCTTCACGTGGCGGAATTTCCGGAGCTCCCGCCCCTTCGAACCGAAACTGAACCTGACGGACAGCACTCACGGTTCCGGTAATCCTAGCACTACACCGAGTACCGAGTATCTGCAAGGATTTGTCAACGCGAGGAAATACTACGGCGCATTGTCGCTTTCAGCGTCCGGGCAGTCCGGGGTTGAGCCATACTATCGTCCGGATCAGGTGCGCCTGGTTCCTGCGAACAAAAGCTCTGCTGCTATGAATAGCGAGGATAGCAGCGGCGACGAGATCGGACGTCCAGCTCCACCTTCTTCTCTTCCGGCTCTGCAAAAAAAGCAACGTGAGCAAGAAGCTTCAGCATCAGCAGAAGAAAAAACACAAAAAAGAATGCCAATTGAAGACGAAAGAGATGTCCCTGCGGAAGATGATGAGGAAAACAACAAGGCCCCCTGCGAGGACCAGGCATTGTACGCGAGCGAGGGGTTTTTCAGCAAGGCTTTTTTCGCGGAATTACACCCAGACAACATTCCAGAGGGAGGTATGCTTTTCTTCAAAAAAACGTATGACCTTGTGCAGAGCCGTTTTACAAGGCACTCGAAATTTCCTATGGAGCTCGTGGAAAATCCGTGGTCAAGGACGTGGTGGTACCAACACGGCCGGTTTACCGCGCAACGCAAAACGTATGCGCTCGAAGATTCCTGCTTGCAGGAAAAATTGTTCAAAGTGCTAGAGCACGCGCTGTGCGAAGAGGATTATCGAACGCAAAACATGGCTTACGTGAGAAAGCGGTATTGCCCAAAAGAGAAGCGGCTTCGTGGCAACGAGGAGATGGCGCCCGCGCGCGACTTTGCGTCCGATGGAAAATTCAGTTTTGTGAAGAAAATGCTGGCGATGCCGTACAAAAAAAAGCTGCGTCGGGAAGAAGTTGATGACACGGCTCTGCATCAAGGACGCCCGAAGCTACAAGAAGATAAAGAAAGTTCCGGTCCTCCTGCTACCTTTCTCGGTTTTCTCGCACAGAAGAAGACTCTTCAGGCAATGCAGCGGCACGTAGAAGAATTTTCCCGAGAAACGTATGTGCAGTATCGGAATAATAACAAGGCTAAGTACCGGAAAAAGGTGCAAGCGGTAATGCTCGCGACGGGGAAGAAATGGACGGAAGTCCAAGGAACGCTCCGCCAGATGAGTCTTGGTGCTCAGCAGAACGAGCAAGGAAGAAATCATCCAGGGCTATTAAGCCAGAAGAGCACCGCTGCGAGAAGCAGCAAGCGCTCGGTGCTGCCGACGAGGCTGCGGAGCGGGCCATTGTCGTTGCACAAAAGGCCATCCAGCCGCATGGCGACAAAGAGCCAGGTGAAAAAAAGTAGCGGGTCCCTCAGTCAGGCTTCGAAGAGCGACATCAACAGGGTTCGGAAAGAAACCGCAACACAATCACAAGCGATAGCAAATAGAGGGCCGCCGGGTCAGCTGGGCAGCAGTTCCTCCAAAGCGAATATGAGCGCCAGTGCGTCGAGCAAAAAGAGCACTATTTTTCCCTTCGCAAGTCAAAACAAGAAGCAGCCGTCTCTTTTGTCCGCAAAGGACCCTGCTCCGGCACATCGTGGAGACCGTCCACCTAAGCGCTCCGTCTACGATCACAATAAACTCGAACTAGACGCGCTCGACGGTGTGTTTGACGATGGCGAAATAGAGAAGAAGAACAACACATGCTGTTACAGCATCAAAAGTGGCAACAAGGACCCTCCGCTCCTGCTCAACGAAGACTTTTACGCGCTGGACCAGAACGAACTTATTTCGCGCAACCCCAGTCAGAAACAAGAGATGAATCATCAGCAGCAAGCAGAATCCTTCGGTCTCGGAGCTCCTGTAGGGCAACATCAGCAGAAACACAAATCTACAACTTCCGTGGACCGTACGGAGACACGGTGGTCCCGCCTATTTGAAGACGACGATGTTATTTCGGAACATTTCAAAAAACAGGAACAAAATAAGAACTTGTTTGAAGGCCAGCACAGCAGGGTTGTTGGCGACGATTCGTCACGTAGTAGAAGTTCCTGCTCGGATGTCGACATGATGGATTTCGACGACTTAGAGGAGGTTGTGTGTCCACAGAGGCGCATAAGATCGACAGCGCGAGGCGAGAAAGAGAACAAGCCGACCGCGTCGCCCAAACAGACTACAAGCAACAAAAAGCAGAGTGCTGGCGAAGATGAAGATGATGATGGTGATGGCATGATCGATTTTGACAATCTCCCTGCGGCGCGACAAGACCAACTGCTCTACGGACGAGCAGGCGGAAATTATCGCGACTCGACGCTTCTGGAAGATCATTCTCAAAACCAGAACTACACTCCTGCTGGTGGTACTAAAAGTCGACTGCCCGCCTTTGGTAAACCAGCCTACTTCGATGTCGAAGATTCTGCGGACGAACAGGACACGACCCTGCCCGAAGTCGCCGACTTCCTCCACGCGTTCCGTATTGCCCATTCCCGGGTTCTGCTGACCGTCCTGTCGCGGTTGGTGCTCGAGGTTTTCGGCGCGAGGCTCTTGGAAAAGGTGTGCTGTGAAGATGATGTCGATAGAGATGGTGTTGAAGATGAGAACACAAGAACTTCCACTGTGCTGGAAGCCGGCAAGTCCAAGAACCGGACGCCGCGGACAAAAGGAACCTCTTTCTTGGAGAATGAGGAAAAAGCAAAACGAACAAACAGCAAGTACGATCTCGCAAGCGACAACAAAATGGATGTCGATGAAGAATTTCTGGATCGCGATGATGTGCAGATGGGTGCACCGGTCGGAGAGGATCACGAGCAGGTCCTGCAAATCACCAAGAAAAGTATTCTCGACCACAGCTGCTCAACCGCCGCGCTGGCCTCCTTTGCCGAGTTTCTCGCCAAAGAGTCATCCTCGCATGAGCAGGGCGATAACACGGAAGAAGACGAGATGGACGTTTTTTCTGGAGAAACTTCTACCTACAGGAATGATAGCTTTCATCCCAAGTTCAACTTTATCCGTAGTGAAAAAACTCCGGTGGATAAGGTTGTTGGCGAGGGCGAAGAAGACAAAAGTGCACCACTTGTTCTGCCGGCTTCTTTACCGAGCAGCTGGCTTGTTCAACGGGCTACTTCTTCTACTGCGCCGAGAAAAATAAGCTGCCACACGATAAATCTGCTTCGGACAGCTATCGGAGCGGAGAGCTTCTGCGACTTAGCAGCGTCGACGAAGGCAGACGGCATTACTGCGGAGTCGATAGAAAACAAGGTGTCCCAGGAAATACACGAGCCTCGGGAAGAAGAAGAGGAAAAGCAGCAGACGAGTACTATGATGACGACGAGCAGGACCGGGTGGAGGTTGTTTTCACAGGAGCCACTGTGCCCACCAGGTGGAAATATGTTCCACACGATGAAGATGACCGCTCAGCAACAAGTGGGTAGTGAACTTCTTTCGCTTTCCTGCAACGCCGACCGTCTGGATGTCGTTGTTTTGGTCCGTGGCACTGGCACCGGCCGCACCCGCGCCTCCAATAGCAGTACTCGACCGCTTTCTCCGACGCACATTTTTGACGGATTCAGCATCTTCAGTACGTTGCTGCTCGCGTACGACGCCTGTCTGAAAGCCTACTCCGACGAAACGCAGCTGACGCGGAAGCAAGAAGATGGCACGCTTGATGCGCTGGAGCTGGACAAGAACCGCTTTATTTCAGAGGAAAGCAGGAAGACGAAGAACAAGAAGAAGAAGTACGAAAGCAACGCCATTGATCGGCCGTCCGCGCGCACCACCCTTCTGCAGCAGGGCGTCGTCGGAAAGCGAAAGGACGACGGAAAACAGAAAAAAGGCGGCAAGGCAGTATCTAAAAAAGCAAAAAAAACTAAAACTAGCGACACGGCAAAGAAAAGCGTAAATGGGATGAACAAAAGTGCTGGAGGCACCACGATGGACTTCTACACGGGTGACTTCTTCAATGACAGGAAGAGTGAACAAAGCGTGCTGCCTGCTCGTGAGTCTCCGCATGACAATTTGCAACAGATAACTGCCGGCACCACCACCTCCACCGCCCTAGAGCTGGAACGATGCCACAGCTTCTTCCGCACGCAAAGAAAAATGTGGAGACAGCGCAACAGAGCGGTTTTAGATTTGGGCGTGCAGGGAAAACAATGGGAAACTTCGCATGGGGAGGAAGATGATGAAGAAGCTGCGTTTCTTGAACAGGAATTGTACTTGCAAGCATTGGATCTTCAACTCCTACCACGACTGCACCTCCACGCCACCGCGTCGTCCGGAGCAGCTGCAGCTCTGTTCACCCCGGCCAAAGCGACCCAGCTCACCTCCGCGGGCATTCTTGCCGGGACGAACTACACTGCGCCGCAAATAAGAACTACATCACACAACAAGTTGAAGCAATTTCTTCCGTGGATGTCGCAAGCCCGGGCGCTCAATCGATTCGTAGCGCAACCCGAGGACATCGCGGTCGAAACGCTGTTTTCCGAGCTGGAATGCGTGGGGAAGGGGCACTTTGTGGAGTTGCGAACATACAACAGCAAAAACGGGAAGCAGAAGCTTGTGAAGTATTTTCAAGATGACGAGGGAAACGTGATTGGTGAACAAGATCAAGCTGGCGCTGGCCGCTTCTTGCAACAGGGCGGGCGAGCGGTTTGGAATCATGGCACAACCACGATGGAGCGAGGCAACAATCTAGAGGACTTCGGAGATGACGGAATGAAGATGAACCAGGGCGAGATTTTATTTACCACGGGAGGTGGAGCAGGTAACCGTAACTTTCACACGGCTCCTGCCAGCACGCCGAAACCGCTACAGGAAGGACAACGCACAACTGCTGTTGGTGGTAATACGAGCGGAGGGAGAGACGACGTTCCACCACCTCTTCCCTACTATGCCGAACAAGAAGAAGAAGACTCTGATCAACAGCTATTGCAAGCTGCACAGGATTTTCAGAATTCCCTAGAGTACTTCTCCGTGAATAACATCGACTGGGAGGAATATTATCGGAAAGCCACCGGCGGTTGGAGTGCTGTGCAGAAGTATAACAGGAAAAAACAAGGAAAGCTCGGCGGAGCAGGTGATGATGGAACAAATATCAAGGATGCGAAGGGGAACGTTCAGAAGCGAGAGCAGACGCAGATCAGCAGGATGTACACGGCGGACCTGGAGCGGTTTTTCCGGGAGAAGCAGTTATTGGACCAAGAGATCGCAAACGGGGGCGAAAATGTATCGGAGGAGGAAATTGACGGCGAGTTGCACAGATCCCTCAGCCGCAAATCTTCCAAAGCTGCTGCGCAGGCCCGGGGCCCTGGCGGGAAATTTGTGAAGGCGGGGGAAAGTAAATCTTCTTCGACAGGGCACGCGCACGCCGAAGCGGGAGCAGGTAGCTCTTCTCCCAAAGTAGTCCGCCTGGTTAAAAGGCCAGTTTTTCCCTCTGCGCAGAAACTCAGGGACGCAACCGCGCGAAAAAGAGCGGAGAGGCAAGCAGAGCGAGCGAAGGCCACGGCTGCCTCGCAAGTAGCTGGGAGCGGGCGACGCAAGGGACAGATGAGTGGCAAGGACAAGGGAAAGCTGGCACCTCGGAGAAAAAGGAGCAAGAAGAACGACGACATAGACAACAGTTTGGATTTAGACCTGGGCGAAGAAATAGAATTCGACCAAGCGCTAGAGCCACGAGAAAAGGATGAAACGGGTATGGATTTCTCCGGGAAGATCGGGAATGACGATGGCAATAAAGAAAAAGACCACGGTGTTGACGTGAAGATGAAAGTCGATCCGGCTTCTACAGCGCCGGATCAAGCCAGTGATAACAAGAAGAAGCCCGCGCCTACTTCTAACTTGAAAAAAGCAAAATCAGCAGCTGCGAAGACAGTGCAACAGAAACCAGCGGCTACAGCTGCGGCAGCTGCATCAAGTAGGACCACCGCAAGTACAAGCAAGATGAAAAAAGCAGCGGCCCCCGCTGCAATGAAGACCAAAAAGAAGACCGCATCGCAGCAAAAAATACAATCGGCGAATGCGAAGATGAAACAAACAAAGAAACCGACCGACACCGTGAAGCAGGGAGGAAAAAATAACGCTCGGAAAAAGATGGTAGCGGCTGGAAGCTCGATCCGTAAAAAGGGAGAAACAAGAGAAGCTAGTGCTGGAGCTACTTCTATGACGAAACAGGTGCTATCGATGAAAAGTGTTGGTGGAAAAATGAAAGAAGAAAAATCGTCATCAAAAGGGGCACAGCCTTCGCAAGCGACTCAAGCGAAGATCAGATCGAGGCAAGAGTCTGGGAAGATGACGAAGCAGCCAGTTACAACGACGACCGAAGCTGGTGCTTCTACTGCTCCGCTCGCAGCTGCCCCTGCATCGTCTTCCTCTGTGCCTGCTACATCCGATCCGAAGAACGCGACCGACAAAGCTGCTGGCGGAAGTCTTCACGTGCAGCGAGATAGAACTAGTGCTGCTACGGGTGCGAACAATAGCAGGACAACATCAAATCGGCAGGCAAACAACCGCGCGTCGGCCAACAAAAGTTCCTCCGGGTCATCTAGTTCATCATCCTCTTCTTCATCATCTTCTTCATCATCTTCCTCCACACCAGTCGAAGACGAGGAGGACGATCTGCTAGCCGATGATAAGTGATGAGCAAGAGCTTCTAGCAATTTGATCTTCATCTGTTAGTAGCCGCATTTGCTTATTTTATTCCGACTCTCTCACTCTAGTACAACTAATCGTATTAACGTAGTGCATATGAATTTCTATTCGGAATACTTAATTTTTATTTTTTAGACGAAGAAACTGTAATTATGCTGTCACTGTGCTGCTCGTCCTCGTCGCTGTGCACGATTTTCATCCACACTCTAACGCATCGAAGCTTTCACATCACACTTTTTAAAACTAACACAAATAAGCAGGCTCAGACATTTATCTTTTCAAAATATCACAACGAAACAACCAGATGGAGCTGAATGACAACGAAAACGCACAAGATCATTACAATTGGAGACAAAAATGTAGACATTTTTTTTCTGTACGTATCTTTTTGAGCATCCGAGTATTCAAGTGCTGCAAATCTGACGAATACACAGTAATCTTCAAGCAGAAGAGGAATGAATTGTTATCAGCACTGCAAAAATATCTTCAGTAGTTTCATCAATTACAACAATTACAATTTCCATATGAGGATTACAGTGTGGCTCTCAAACGAAGATGAGCAAGCAGACGCTTGTGGCAACGATGAAGAGCCGCGCGCTCGATTCCGTTGTCATCTTCATATGCGAATGAACTGCCATACGTCGGCCACCAACACCATAAAGATTTTAGTCAGCTTCACCTGTCATGAAATGCCAAGACCAGAACAAATTTTATGAATCAATTCTCAATAATATCAACTAGAGGAGTTGGTGGACAACAAACAGTTGCAGAGCCAGACGCAGGTAAGGGCGTAGTATTGGCGAAGCGCAGGGCATGTAAGTTCTTCAGCAGGCTTGTTTTTTGACATCCGGAAACAAGACTTTCCTGGAAGGATGTGCAGTGGTCGTTTGTCTTTGGAGCGTACACGACCAGGTCTCTCATCGCAGAAAGAAAATGACACTTAGCAGCGTTCTTTGATGTCAACATAATTGGTTTACTCACGACCAACGACCTCAGGATTCTTACGCAGCACGAGGCGATAGCGTCGTAGTTGTGTCACAATGTCCTCTAGTTGTTGCTAGTCCGACTAGAGACCACGCCAGTGCAACAACTCGCGTACGATCGTCACAGGAACAGAAATCATTTATCGTCGAACATCAACATAGATCATGTATGTCGATGTCCTTTATCGTTCTTTAATCAGTACCTGAGCTGCTGGCCAACAAACTGCAACCGAGTGTTGCATTTGATTACCTTCTAGAATTTCACCTACCAACCTACTTCGACCAACCCTCACGACACAAAGACTGCGCCGTTGCCGTGGCATCATGGCTCGTGATAATTCTACTTCCCGGGATGGCAAGCAAAGGCGAGGCGGGACGAGACGGCGGGACGAGGAGGAGGACAACCTCCGGGATCGGAGTATGAGACCTTCGTCGCGCTCGCGAACGGAGAAAAACAGCCGGCGAGCTGAGCGGCACCACAGAAGTGAACGCAGTAGACGTGGTGGCAACTACCGTGGTGGTACCAGAGGCCGCGACAGTAGAAGCAGGCGGGGGGATACTAGACCTAGACGCAGTCGAGGAAGAGGGCGAGCCAGAGTTGTAGATGTTGGCACGAATTACAGCAGGTCACGGTCGCGGTCGCCGCGGTCTGTTTCCTCTTCCCGCAGTCGCAGCAGGAATTTCAAGAACCAAATCCCAGCGTTTATCCAAACAGGCGGGGTCCCTCTGCCGGTCACAAGGATGATCAAACCGAAGCTGCCAGTGCCGCCGGAACAACAACAACTGCTGGGGGGCCAGGTAAGTTTTGCTGGAAACTAGAACCACTGCGTAGAAACCTGTACAAGAACCTTCAATACATGGCATGAAATATGACCACCGTGACGTTGCGCATACAAGGAGATCCTACCTTGCAACTTCATGCGCACAGAAAGAGTTCTTGTCCGATTCTCATTGTCGAATCAAAACCTCTTACCACAGTTCTGTCAACAACTAGTGTAAAATTGACGCCCACAGACCAACGGTCAGCTCGTCGCTGCAACTGGTAAGGCGGGGAGTGGTATGTTGGAAAGTAAAAGTCTACTTGTGCTGCATGTAGATGAAGTAATATGTTGATCTCAATGCAGAACATGTCAATGTCGTGACTTCTTCTTCTTGATTACATCGCTTGCCTTGTGCATCCGAGGCGAAACATGAGCGAATGAGCAAGTCCCCATGTTGCTACTTGGGAGATCACTATACATTTTGTCGTGTGTTGTTGCAGGGCCAGGAGGACTTTGCTCGCCATAACCCCGCCACTTTCGGCAGAACAGTTACGAGAGCAAATCAGCCGGAACCTCGACGGCATCATCCTGAACACGCTTGAGCAGAAATCCGCGGATGGCAAAAACAGCAAAGTGGCAGCTAATCCAGCCCCACGTGCTGGTCCACGGCAGTTCCCAAGTTCAAACGGTGCGGCAGTGACGGGACAAAGTGGCACTAGTTCTGCCCAAGCAGTGACAGGCACCGCGGTGCTGGCATCCTCTGGTGCTGGCGAGCACAACGACGACGACCCGCTCGATGCGTTCATGGGGAACTTGGGAAAGGAGCTTCAGGAGAAGGTATGAAAAATTAGGATTGATCGTGTAGTGATATCAACAGGAGGATTTTAATCTTCGTCTTCCCTTGTAGTACTACACTAGTTCCGACCACGTGCATAATTTATGAAAACGACCCGCCCGTCCGCTGATTTCCACGACTTGTATTTTTTGCTTAGAGCGGGGTCACAAACTCATTCGTTAACTCCCCACCGGAGTTACGGACCAACCGGCCGGGTGGTCCTTAACTCCGGTGCCCCAAATGTTGCTTTAGAGAGAGGCAACAACGAAATTAATCCTTATGCGCCCCCCCGGCGGATAAGCCGGGGGTGGGCCCCATCTTATCCGCGCGCCGACGGGCCGTGCTGGTGTAGCCTAGGCAAAGTGACCCGGCGCCCTCATTGCCTGGAGGGCCCGGATATGCCCACAGCATGCCGTCGGTCTTTGTGGTGTTTAAAAGTAACAGGCCCAACATTTGAAAGCGCCACACTACCGGGGTTGCTTCAGACTAAAGGGCGACTGGGCAACATTTGGGGCGCGCTTGGGAAATTCGCCACGCAAGAAACTGCCGCGCAAGTAGCAACGGACACGCAGTTGCAAGATCAGAGCCAGAATCTGCCCCGCAGAAACTGCTGCCATATGTAGCGCGAGGGCCAAGGAGCTTCCTCGCTTCGCGCCTTCAGGCTATTGGGTTACTTGCTAGACCATGTCGACGCCGCTTTGCCCTTGGGCAGTGGCCTAGGGTCCGAAGCGAGAGGCGCCGCGGGCTAAAGCTTTGCTCTAGCCTGCGCGCGCGGCCCCCTGAAGGGGGTTCGCCTGTGCAAACCGATGGCCATGGCTGCCCCTGCTTTTGCAATGGGTTCACTCAAAAAGACAGCAGGGCAGCAATGCCCAGGGTTGCGCACCCAGAGTCCTACCCACTCTTTTAAATGTGGAGCGCCGTCGTTGGTAAAATTCCCTCCGGTGGTGTGCTCAATTTATATCATCACACGGCAAACACGACCACGAGGGGGGGTAGCCATTTTCTGGGCCCCGGGCCGTGTTGTCCAATGTTTGTGGAAGCGCAAACATTGGCAGCGAGCGCAGCCTCCGCCGCGGCCGTAGTATTTATTTGGGCCGTGTAACTGACGGCCCCGCGCGGTCCACTTTTGTTTTCCGGCTTTTTCATGCCACCGCCGACCGACGTGCTTTAACTCTTCGCATCTTCGGCGCGGCGCAAGTGTTCCTTCGCCCGAAGTGCAGGAAGGCAGGCCATGGGGCCCAGTGAGGTTTTCTCGCCTCGCCCGGTGTTGCAGCCTACTTTTGGGAAACCCGCGCGCGCCCGTTTTGTGCGACGGGTTGTGACTCGCAGCCAGCAGTCGTCGCAAACCCCACACGCAGCGGAGTATCGCAGCCACGTAGTACGTAGCAGCGATGAGCTGGCTGTTCCCGGTTTTGGTGTAGCAGCGATGACAGTATCGCAGCCACATGACCGGGCTGTTTCCGGTGCTGGTAGCAGTGATGACCGGGCTGCTCCCGGTTCTGGCGATAGCACTTTATTCCGGGTTGTTCCCGGTTCTGGGGCTCACCAGATAGTACGTAGAGCAACATTCTGGGCACCGGAGTTAAGGACCACCCGGCCGGTTGGTCCGTAACTCCGGTGGGGAGTTAACGAATGAGTTTGTGACCCCGCTCTTAGAGTTGTTGTTCGACGTCGTCCAATATTTTTACACCAACCACTCCCAACAGAACATCACCATCCCGGGTAACATCACGCACACGCGGGAAGTCTTCGGCCAGAACGCTTTCCAAAAGCTCCGACCGCAGGGCACCGCGAAGCACCTGGATCCGGACTCGCTGCTGGAACGCGGATTGTGAGCAAGATCATGGAAACATTTGTGTTGAAACTGCTTCACTCTGCAGCTTCTATGATCTTGATCTTCAGCCGGACTAGATGGAGCACAAGGAACATGAAGCTAAACACGCCCGCGCCAGACGCGCAGTTTACAGATTGAATCGCTTCTCCGAAATAGTGCACCTGAACCGCTAGAAGTGGTGGCAGTAGTTCTTATTGTTCTGATGTTGTGTTTTTTTTTGTGATGCATTGCTCAACTCATGATATTCATATTGAAACTGATGCAAGCAACACGAGAGCAGCCAGAACCGGGAGCATCATGCCAAAATAGACCACACAGTGTAAGTTTCTACGCAGTGGTGTCAAATAAAGACACGCGTTTTTCGTGTCCCTAGGTGTTTCTTGGCCCTTATTTTTGATTTCTGCCAGAAAAGGTCCCGACGAATCAATAAAATCTAAATCATTTTCGTGGAGCGTGCCTGTTTCCGAGTGGATGGAGTTGAGTCGGAGAGGTTCTTGACCTACGTTACTGCCACGAGCACAAACGCTATTGCTTGACGACCTGCAGCGGATGTTTTGAAGTTCCACAATTCACAAACTCTGGAACAACTTGCGGCTAATGTGCACGCCGAGACCGACGAGCAGCCGAGGTTGAAGAGGAGCTAGCTGAATAGATACGTACTTACTAGTAGTGCCGCATTCTTGATCCTCTTCAGAGGTAGTTGCCATAAAGTAGATAAAAGTAGTGAGAAGCCGCGCTATCCAAGAGAATAGGTCGTGGATTGAAGGTGTATAGCAAATTCTTCGTTCACGAACAGGATCAACAAGATGCCACAGACCGTGGAGATTTCGTTTGTGAACCACAACAAACTGGCTCCGAAAGCCATCGGGAAACGGATCCACCTCGGAATATGGGAGTGTCAGAATCGAAATTGACAAAGTCGAAAAATTTGCGATGCACAAAATCGATGTCAGTTGGAGCCTCAGTTGTCAAGTGGCGCATGACAAATTTCGGGAGCACCAAAATCCAGCTCCTTGTCGTGCTGTTTGGGGAAAGAAGACTGCTCCTGTCATGCTACTCTGGCAGCACATTGCATACCCCTAAACAGGCTTACAATCGGCCTCATATGCCTGCTCCCCAATACAGGGCTTCAGTGCTCTACATTTTATGCATCACAAGTTTTTCGATTTTGACGATTTCGATTCTGACACATCCATACGGAAACCTCGATCCGGACATCAAGGCGATCGAACTAAAGCAGGGCTTGGCGGCGCAGCTGGAAATTTCGCCGCGCCTCATCGCGTTGGTGAAGGATTTTCACAAATTAGACTCCGAGGACTACAACTGCGGAGCGTACGAAATCACCGACGATCTCGAACCGGTTTTCCGGCACACGGAGACGGTTCTCGAAGTAGATGTTCGTCGACTACATGTTGATCTTGCTGTAGATGGGACCACGAGAACGAGTGGAAACAAAACTTTCGCAAATCATGAAACCACTGCTTCCACCACCACCTCCTCCTTCGGTAGCACCTCCAAACCGGGCACGTCTCCGCCCACCGGCCCGACCAACTTTCTCTACTTCCAGGAACCTCCGCCGAGTGCTTCCGGGGATGCGACATCTTCAAGATCGCACCGCCAAGGAGGCGCAAGCGACCAGTTTGCGACACGGCCGGCTGTTGTGTCGTCAACTCCCGAGGCAGGGGTGAAGGTCTTCTCGAAGAAGACCGCGGCAGGAGAGAAAGCTTCGCCAACAACATCCACTGCAGGAGCAGAAGATGAACACCTCATTCAGCCACCGAGCAATTCGAACTCCCCCGCGAAGCGCGACTCCCGACCGCGGAATTCCCGACCTTTTGCCTTGTACGACGGCGGTCTACAAGACGAGCTGGGGGACCGGGCGGATTTCCTATCGACGACTGCGGAAAAATGCGGGGAAGATGCGTGGAGGTCATCCTCGGCGGAACATGATGCTGCGGGTGGTCCTGGTCCTCACGGTGGTGCATCGTCGGAAGGAAGGGACGGGAATGGGGTTTCCAGTAAAAACGGGAGCAAGACATCAAGTTCTGTTGTCACTGGACGAGGTTCCGTCTCCTCGTCTTCTAGCAGCACCTGCAACAGCCTACCCTCTTCCCGGCTGATGACCCCCCGGCTGCACGAAAAGCAGGCGGCAACATCCACGGGCGCCGTTGTTGCTCCAGGACTTCATCATCTTGCTTCGAAAACAGACAACACCAGAGCCGGTGGTGGTGCGATGGGCTCATCATCCTCAGGTAAGACTTCTAGAAATAAATCTGTTGTCGAAGAAGACAAAGTGCCGAGAATCTGCGTCCTCTTGTCCGAGCACCACAGCGCGAAACGGATTGTACGGCCGCCGCCGGCGAACAATTCATCTTCGGAGGAAAACGAAAATAAAGCGGATGATCTTCACAGCACGAGCAAAGGAAAAGCGCAGCAGTCGAACTCGAAATCCCCAAGCAACACCTCCGATCCGCCCGTAGTAGAACCACGCGGATCTTCTGCATCCGACCTAGACATCACGGTGGGGCACATTCCGAGTGAGATGGTTCTGGCGGGCCATGAAGATCATCTTTCGGATCTCGCCGGCGGCGTACCAGATTTCCGCAAAGCGGTCTACATCAATGTGTACCACTATGGAACTGTCAGGATTGAAATTGACAAAGTTGAAAAATTTGTGATGCATAAAACCGATGCCAGGAGTTCTTGGATGCCCACTTTGTTTCCAAGCGGCGCATGACAAATGTCGACATCATACATCATAATCCAGTTTGTCATGCTGTTTAGCGAAAGAAGGCATCCTTTGTCATGCTACTTTAGCAGCTCTATCCCAAAAGCAAAACAGGCACACAATCGGCCTCACTTGCAATCCCTGCAAGACAGTCACTTCGTGTCTTGCATTTTATGCATCACAGATTATCTCCACTTTATCGATTTCAATCCTCGACGAAGGAAGAAGTAAGCATGTAATTAGCACCTCCGGTTGGTAGAGCGATCGGCTACCGAGGCACGTCAGGGTGGCGTCGCTACTTCAATTCAATTCAATTCAATCCTGACACACCCATAACCACGTCCGGGTCGGGAATTTCTTCACCTTCGAAACCGTGAATTCCTTCATTTTTGACAAGCTGCTCGGCATGCCCCACGTGGGCGCTTTCCACACCGGCGTGGAGATCTACGGGGATGAATACCAGTACGGCTATTGTGAGGAGGGGACCGGGATTTCGCGCGTGCGGCCGCGGACGGAGCGTGACCACGTCTACGCGGAATCGATACTGGTTGGGTACACCACTTGGAAACGGGACGACATCAAGTTTTTTGTCAACAACTGCGACGAGCTGAAGAACAACTGGCAGGGACCGGATTACGACTTGAATGCAAAGAATTGCGTCGATTTCGCCCGCGACTTTTGCCAGTTGATTTTAACCACGGACACGCGGCGGAGTCCGCTGGAACACGAAAGTTCTTGTTGGCCGGCGGAGACGAGCTCCTCCTCCCTCCGGTTGAGCTCGGCGGCAGAGCACGTCGTGAACGGGAGAAGAAGCGGGAAGATGAACGGGGGCACGGAGGTGGCTGAAAATGGAAAAATATATGGACAACATGACTATACAAATTCTACTACCGATAAACGAACATCGTACAACCGCATCGACGTCGCTTCATCTTCGCCCTCCCCTCCGCCAAAGCCGTACCACTCCAATCCTCCGCTACCATTGCAACTTTCCGCACGCGGACCATGCAGCTCCAACGCTTGGTCCGCTGCAGCAGGTGGATCATCGTCCGCCAGCGATGGTAGAACCACGCACGCATCCTCTATTGCACCGTTGGAGAATTTAGACAAACTTGTAAAATTTTTACCGAAGTTAGGAAATCTAGCGATCAGCAGTCACTCGCGAAGTTAAGGAAGGAGTAGCAGTTACTTCTCAAAATGCAGTCAGATGACGAAGCAGTCTCAACACTATTGATTCGCGATTTTTTACAACACAAGTTTCAGTTGTTTATTTTGGCAAAATGAAGTGCTCGTAGCCTTCCTGCTCATCGTTTTTGTCCTGAACAACGGTTGATCGTCGAGCAGCAGGCTACTTAATCGTATGATTTGGAACGTCGAAACTGAAAATTTTTACCACGACAGGTTTCTATTAGGTGATAACGGTAACGCATGAAGAGTTCTAGAAATAAGCGCTTGAAGGTATTGGCCGAGATCGCGACGTATGACAGCGATGATTTGAAGATTAGGCCGCAGCTCCGCCTGTGGTCATCGTCATTATTCTCGGCAGAAGAAGAATTGCACAGAGATATCGTGGCCTTTTGGCGGTTCGTTGTTCGTGAATTTGTATTTCTGAGAAGCAAAAGTAAAGCGGAGGAGTTTTCATACGTAATATTGTGAATAAAGAGGTTGCAGCCTTTAGGGTCGAACTCGAAGATCCGCTCTGCATGAATGCTCTTGGCTTCTGATTTTGCAACCTTTGCACGTGTCGTGAGCGTCCCATCTTAAAATGAGAATTATCTCTAGAGCCTGCTCAACCTTACGACTGATGTAAGTACAAGTACAGCTTCGCCAAGTACAACTTTTTCTTCTTCGTAGCACTACGTGGGACCGTTGAGAATAACACTACTTTTGGCTCGATGGATGGCGCTGCAACAAGTGCATCTAGCAGGAGCAGTAGCTAGAGGAGCCACAAGTGTCTGTGTCAGCACCCCCATGTAATAGGGAATGAGAAGGCCGCTTCGAACTTCGTACGTCAGCATCAAGGGAACATCTTCAACAGCGTAAGAAGCGTAAGAGTACTATCAAGTTGTAGGAGGAACAACTAGTGGTCCTAGTACGAATTTCACCTGCGGATGAAAGATCGAATCTTCACGAAGCGCTCTTAAGATCTCCTACATCACATAAAACCATCTCCAGTAGCATTTTTTTTTTTTTCAATGCGGCCAGATGGGGGCTTCTTGATCCTTTTCCTATGTTGCCTCCAATATTATCTTGTTTGAAGTCAAGTCTACACCATAATCTTAATCTCTTGCCCGAGTAGCGTGTTGCTATCTGCAAGCAGGACGTAGTAAGAAGTTGACTGCCTTTGCATCCTGTCTTCACCGGCTACAGCTTACAATATTAACACACAAAAAAAAAAAACGCACACGCCTTGTTATTCCGCCCAAAAATAAACCAGCATCGACTTTGGATAAAGTTGTTGAGGCTGTATCTCTTGTCATTGCGCTTCTACTACCGTTCTGCTCATTCATCTTGAAGCACATGTACCTGGTGCCATCTTCTCAGCTTTGACTTTCACTGCTACCGCAAGAAATTATCATCACTTTACGAAGTGAGTGAGGTGAAAATAAAGATCATCTGCAAGCAGCAGCTTCAGCAGCTACTTCTACTAAAACTTCATCTTTGCGTTGCAGCAAGTAGACGAGTAGTTTGACCTTGACATCATCACTGCTCAACTTATCCAAGCAAAAAGCTGGTGGTGAGTTATTATAGTTTTGAGCATTCGTGAAGAGCTTCTTCTTCTATGCACAACTTCCGAGTCGATGTCGAAAGTCGTCGTCTTCCTGACAAAGAAAAGAGAATCCACCAAACAGAAAAAAGAAGTCGTCCTTCTCGTGGCCGTACGTCATCTAAGGGTCGTTCAAGATTAAGTTTATGTCAGCACCTGGACTACGATAGTACTCTTTGAAAGTCATCTCCCAATATTGGTGAACCACACACCGCGTTTGGATGTGCCTCGCTGAGTCTGTATCCACTGCAGAAAGTTCAGAGCTTCAGACTTCTCAGGAATCAACAAATAATTCTTGCATTTTTTGCCATGCGTAATTTTCCTTTTTGGTGCATGAAGGAGATTTTTAAGATTGATCGTGCTGGTGAGACAGAGACAATGCATGACGGGATTATTTTGCAAAGTCTGTATCTGTTGGTGCATGTGCGTGTGCGTCTGCGTGGTCTCGACAACAATTGGTAGAAGCGCTGCTCCCATCAACAACAACAAGTTCTTTATTAGCATGTTCATCGGTTCACCAAATTTGCGCCGGCATGATCGCTCTCGAGTCTGAAGCAATGACATATAATTTGCAACGCATACGCGCAACCGAGCAACGACGACCGCCACGATCTATCTACCTTTTCGCCTTCGTCGTTGGAGTTTTGTTCATCTTCTACTTCCAACTTTACTTCTTCTGCGAACTACAGCAACGCCGCGTCTAGTACAACTACAACTCCAACTCCCTCCGCCGCTGCTTCTTTTTTGGATTTCGTCTACAAGAACGCGACAGACTTTACTACCACCAGCGCCTGGAGCAGCTGTTGTGCCACGAGGACTTCCGCGTCAATATCATCTTCACGACCACCAGTTGTACCCGTTGCAGCTACTATTCAAACTACATTTCATCTGCCACGTGGTCAAGATCTTTGTTCCAGCACAGCTGCCGTCGAGCTCGGAGATTCTAAACTTAATACAGATTTGAACGAGAAGAGCGAACACGGAGCAGGTACTTTCTACCCCGAGGAGCAAGTAGAACTACAACATCGGGAAGTTTTATCCAAGCAGAAAAACCTGGTTCACCGATCGTCCGCACCCACCCACACGACCACCTCTCTGCCAGCGTTCCGATTTCTCCTCCGTTCTTTCCTCGCCCTATTCACCATGCTCTTCGTCGTCAACTTGAACCCGCAGGACGCCCCGGCGCTGGGGCCCCTGCTGGGGTGCTGTCTCGGGCCCGAAGAGCAGCAGATTACGTACCGCGTGAGCAACTGGCTCTACGAGTTGGGCGTTCGACCGGATTTTGAGTCCTGGACCAGGTCCACGGACCACTTGCATAAGGTATAAGAACGGGGTCACAAAATGTCCGACTAAGTCCTCGGGGGACCTGCGTCCCACCCAGCCGGGTGGGCCTTAGGTCCCCTGTCCCAATAATTAAGTTATATATGACTCCGCCACAGCTCGCGTCCGCCCATATTGTTTTCTCGCCGTTCGCCTTGTCGGTGTAAATCTGTATTAGAGTCTTGCACTATTGTACTTGTGCCTCCATTTGTCGCTATTTATCCAAGAAAAGAGCTTATTTGATGGTTGGTGTAAATCTGTGACGCAGAAAATGCACAACTGTTTCACAGGAAACTGCAGAAACACTTTTGCATTTTCCGCATCACAGGTCCCTTTTGCGTAAAAAGAGCTTTGCATTTTCTGCATCACAGATTTAACCCACAACAAAGCATTTTTCTTGGATAAGTGCAGTGCACAAATCTTCTTTCTTGGATAAGTGCAGCAGTGCACAAATACAATAATACATAAAGCTACTGCGTCACAGATTGACACCCACAAAAAAGAACGGCGAGAAAACTGGAACGGACGGACGCGAGCTGTGGCGCATTCATAGCTTAGCTCTATATTGGGACAGGGGACCTAAGGCCCACCCGACTGGGTGGGTCGCAGGTCCCCCGAGGACTTAATCGGACATTTTGTGACCCCGTTCTAATTAAAAGTAGATAAAGAAAAACTACATGTTTGATTTGATTTGATTTGGCGTAGCTGCGCTTGTAGATGAAGATGTAGTGAGAGTGTGACTGGTTCTTGTGCATGCTCGCGCATTTACAAAATTTCGATCTCTTGTTTGTCGTCGCTGCGTGTCAATCATCATGAGAACGTCCAACACGATCACCGTTTATTGACGGAAACGCTCTACTTCAATCAGGTCCTGCAGTCGTGGCTTTCGCACCTGCCGTCCGGGCACCCGCTGGAGCGCGACAAGGCCAGTATGATGAAGATGCAGGTTATCCAGGAAAAAACACCCATCCCCATCCATTTTTTGTATGAGAAATAGTGGAGTTTATGCATGTTTTGCACGACAAATTGGCTGCGGGTGGGTGTTTTTTCCTGGATACGTGTCCAGGCGGTCACCGTGCGGCGCCGCGGATTTCCCACCGTCTGCGCGGTGGGATTCGGAAAAACGAAAATGGACGTGCAGACCGCAGCCAGGTTGGCGTTGTCCGTGGAAGCTGCCATGGCGTACGACGCAACCAACCTGAGCGAGTTGGACCCCTCCTTTCAGCAGCTGGTTTCCCAGGGGCGGCTGGTCCGGCAGCAATCCATCATGGCCAGCGAGAACTACCACGGGCACGGAGCCGATTTAATCACGACGTCCAGTATGGGCATGCTCATGGGCGCCGGCGGTGGGAACAATGCAAATGGAAACGGTGCTGGGGGAAAGAACGGAAATGGAAAGAAATATCCACCTGTACTCGCGAATAAAAGCTCGGGAAACCCTTTCACACGTACTTTTGGTGCCAAAGAAGAACGCCGTGAATTGCAATGCAACACGTTGCTGCTTGTTGATCTGACGGTTTTTTGTCTCAAGGGGAAGTACAAGTAGGCAGTGGTGCACTAAGTTGTGCGTGCGGCTGCTCTTAATATCTATTTGCATTTTTTCGTGCGTCGTGGTCGTGTGCGGTATAATAACCAGAGGTTTTTATTGATTTTGCGATGCATAGGCGCAAGAACCAGCTCATGTCATCTCCGGCGCCGAATAGCTCGAACGGAAGTAACACAACAAACTCGGGAAAGAAGCCGTATTTTTTCGGGGACAACGACCCTAGGTTCGCCGGAAAAGGCTCCGGCATGCTGAATAAAGGCGGTGGAGCTGGTGCACCAAATACATCAAATAGGCTAAACGTCGACGAGGAGCAGATTCTGCCCGGAGTGAGCCGCAGCGGCAAACATTTGAAGTCGCCCCCACCGCCGGGCATGACGGTGAACCAGCAGCACCAGCACGCGGGGAACAAAAAAGGTTCCCTGTCTGCCGCCCGCGACGCCCGCGAGTTTCACCCGCAGGGGTTGGCTGGCGCCGGTGGTGCGGCCCCTGGACAGCAGTTCTACGATCCGTCTGCCACGTCGACCTCGTCTGGCAGCCAACCGCGGGCGAGCGCGCAGCCGTTCTATCCCGCCGGCATGGGCGGCGGGCCACATGGGCATCACGGAGGTGCCGCTGCTGGAGAGGGACCACCCGCATCTTCTCCGCAGGGGTTTGAGGACGCCATGGGGTTCCACAAACCAGGATCTGCCGGTGGTATGCTTTACGGCGGCGCAGGAGCGGCGGGACCACAACCGGGCGACGCGGACGGAAACCAGCACGGGTTCAACCAGTATAACCAGCAGTACAATGATATCAGCATCAATAATTACTACATTCACAACCAAGTCAACAACACCGTACATTGCTACAACCCCATGGCCGGTGGGAGCGGAGCCGGAAGCGGCGACGCGGCCGGAGCTGCCTCGGGCTCGTACCTCTTATTTTTGTTTTTACTTTTTTCCATTGTGTGCTTGATATGTTGTGTCGTGGTATTCCTCTCTCCTTGTTTGGTCTTGGTCATGATGATGTCGTCGCAAATTATGTTGTCCGCGACCAGCAGTGTCGTAAATTATGATGAAGATGATATGATTTAGAATTTAAACAATGCACAATGAATAAGACACAGCCTGGTGCGTACGTATTGGTATTGACCACACAAGAAAAAACAACACGTACAGGTACAGTAGCTATTCCGCGGGCGCCCAGCCTTTCATTCCGCTTTCGGAGCAGGGGCAGTTTTCGGCGGAGCACTACCTCGGACAGGCGGAATATGGGAGTGTCAGAGTTGAAATCGACAAAGTTGAAATAGCTTGTAATGCATAAAATGGATACCAGTTGCAAGCCCAATTTGTAAGCGGCGCATGACAAATTTCGCAACCGTATAAATCCAGTTTGTCATGCTGTTTTGGCACAGAAGACTGCTTTTGTCATGCTCCTTTAGCAGCTCTTTCCCAAACCCTAAATAGGCTCACAATCTGCCTCACTTGCCATCCCGGCAAGACAGGCACTTCATGCCTTGCAGTTTCTGCATGAGAAATTATTTCAACTTTGTCGATTTCAATCCTGACGCTTCCATACGGAAACGGACAATCTGATGTTTTACGACCCCTTATCCTGAGTAAAAACGTACCCACACCATAGTTGTCATGCAAATCTGCATGCTTAAAATGTTTCTCATGCGGAGCCCCATGAGAAGCATTTTCTAATGGTGTTTTGAAACTTGTCATGCTCCAATCAGCATGAGAGACTAGATCTGTAATGCTGCTGAACTAGCTCAAACAGCACTACACTACGCGTCCAAATTTGTCATGCGAAACAGCCAAAGCTTGTGGATTTGTCTAGCCGATTCCCCATTTTGACTATGGGGTGGGTACGTTTTTACATAGGATACCCCTCGTCCGAGTACCACCCGGGTAGCCTGCAGCACCAGCTGTCCGGGGGCAATAGCGATAACTTCCACGACGCTGCTGGAGGCAATAATAACGACCCAGAATCGACGGAGGAGAACCACGTGGGCAATACCGTCCTTGACCGGTTCTGCGAAAACCTCCAGAATTCCGTATTGCATCGAATAATCTTCCCTCCCCATTATATTGAAAACGCATCCGTCTGAGCACTTGTGATGCAGATTTGTGACCACAAATCGCGCCTGTCTTGCAGGAAGCCAAGTAGTGCAGGCTGTCCGCCGCCTTATGCAGGCGACTTGTAACGCAAACGCTGTAGGGACTAGTATGCACAGGGCAGCCGTCCACCATGCAGCTAGGTGCCTACACAAAAAGGCCCCTGCCTAGGCTTGTGATCTGCGTGCAGTTCTCTACTGCAAGACAAATCTGATTTGTGTACGCAACTCCAGCGTCGCGTCGGATCTCCTTCTCGATATGGAGAAGGGGGAGCTTTCCTTTTGATATTCCGCGGTCACCGGACGCGCCCCTCCGGGCCTGAACCTAGACACTGCCGGGATCAAGTCCTCTACGTCTGAGGAAGAGGAACAAGAGGATCCGCACACGCTGCAAGTTCTAAACATGTTCGGGGACTTTGGAGGCGGCGTTAGTACAACAACTACCGCAGGCGCAAACAAGAACAAAAGTGGAAACAAGAATAAGGATAGCACCGCTTCCGGTGTCAGCAGAGCTTCGAAAGACCACCAGAAGAAAGCGAAGAAGCAGAAGCTGTACGATCAACAGTCCGAATTATCGAAGTCGTCTTATGGCACGATGAGTGATGAAAGGGAAAACACCGTGTCGAAAGCCGTTCCGTCGTTCCTAAACTCCATCACGGGCGGCTCGTATATTGGCGGGACCGCTACAAACTCCAAAAATAAGGTGAAGAAGCAAGAAAGCACGAGTTTGGTGACTGCGCTCCTGCAAGCCGAAGAGGAAGACGCGGATTTGAGCCCGATATGCATGAGAGCAAAAGTATCGTACTAGTACCAATTGCATCCATTTTTTTTTTTTTTTAGGTGAAAAATTCGAAGAGGACTCTTGTCAGCAGGACTTCCGAAGAGGACTTTTGTCACAGAGGACCTTCCGAAGGACGTTTGTCAGCAGGACTGAACTACCACTTCTAGTGCGATACTTTTTCAATGTATACCCCAGCTCGAGCGACAATGAGAACAATGATGAAAAGGACAACTATCTATCGTCAGATGTTAACAAATTGTCCGACGAGGACGCACTATCCAGCTCAGATGACGACGAAGATAACACCTACAAACATTCCAACCGGAGTTCCGTTCGGGGGCGGGGTGCTGGAGTCCACAACAACTTTCGAGGTGGAGGTGGACATCTACGTGGGGACACCAGAAACAACATCAACAGCTACCGAGATGTTGGGTCGTACAACTATGGGGAGTTAGAAGATACCGTCGACCCCCGAGATTTGGTGGACGACACGCGCGTCCGGAGGAGACTTTCTCGTCGCGAAAGCGACGAGTGGTGCGGGGCCGACGGAAGTAGAAGTGGAAATCAACAGCAGAACAGCAATAGTAGAAATAACGGTGTACTGCCAAAAAGTTCCCCGACCACGACCGGAGGCACGAACAATAACAAGTCCTCTCGGGGGTCGAAAAGAGAAAATCTAAATCAGCGAGATAGCCATAATGCGAAGTCTCTGCTGATGCAACTCGAGCAGTCAGGGACAAACAACGGTAGGAAGGCGTATGGCTCGAACTCCGGAAAAAAGGAGCGAGGCGGGTACAACAATCATGGCGGGGGTATCAGCGCAGGAGCCTTCGGAGGTAATATAGCGGATAATCTTCACTACGGTCCTGGCTCTTCCCCTCTCGAAGACGGCTCGTCGTACGCTGCTCCCCATCAACGTCACGGGAATATTAACAACCGACCGGGATACGAACTGAACTACGACTATGAGAACAATAACTACGACAACGAGCAGGAGCTAAACAATTACAACTACAATCCGAACAAGCTTTCTGGTGTGAAGAAGCACACCTCCGCGAAGGGCATGAATAACAATAATAAACAGGGTACTACTAGGGGCAGCACTAACAACAGCAATAAACCCAACAACTCCTATAATAACTGGGAGGAGCAGTCGCAGGCCTCCTCTGCGTTTTCAGGAAATCGAAACAACAAGATGCAGCACCGAGGCGGAAACGGCAACGCGGCGGGAGGTGGTCCTCTGCAAGAAATGAATAACTTCGAAGAGTCCAACTGGGCTCGGGAATCCGTGGACCGAGAAATGCAGGACTGGATGACGCAAAACAACCTTCAGCATCTCCGGAACGCAGCCGCAACCGGATCGGTGTCCGCCTCCGCCGCTGCGGCAGCGGCCGCAGTGGTAGTAGGACAAGACTACGCGTTTCCCAGTACGGCAGAGATGCCGTTTTTCACCTACGCTGACGCAATCAAGGAGAAGCAGCGCGCAGCGGAAGCGGCTGGGGAGAAACCGAAGCTGGTGATTGCTCCCGCACCGAGCAGTAGTAGTGCTAACAACGCTCCTCCTGTTTCGGCGGTAGGTCAGGTGGCTCCTGCGAAGTCCGGACCTCCCACCCGGGCGCCGCCGAAGCAGCAGGCAGCAGCTGGGGTGGTTACAACCACTTCCTCGTCTGGTGCCGTCGGGCCCCCTTCCCGACTTGCACCCCCGCCGGCGATTTCGCCGCCAACCGCGGAGAATGTTCCCAGTTTGAGCGGACTTCCAGTTGTGAAGCAAACGTCGAAAACCGCCGTGATTATGTCTACCACCTCCGGCGCAAGCTCCTCCGGCTCCGCAAGTTACGAGGAGGTGGCCATCGGGTCTGCGCACGCGAGCGCGCAACAGAAACTGGAGAAAAAACAGATTATCTTGGAGGACGGCCGGGTGCTCGACACGCTGGAGGTGATATCAGAGTGCACAAGAACCTATCTATGATTCCCCGTCGTGTCTGTCGTCCCGCATTTTTTGTCATGCAAAAATGCGAATGAATCGGAATCCTGTGCCTGTCTGGCTGTGGGCCTTTCGGCCATGCTTGCATATGCGGGACAAGTTCTGAAGGAGGCACTCCAAGGCCAAACTGCAGTAATACAACATTTTGGGCATGGATTGGTAATGCAAGGGCAGTACTTATTTTCTTGAGATGGTTTCTGTTGCTAGAAATTCAAATTATTTAAGTATGCACTTCAAGAATAATAAATGAGTGGGACGCTGCTGGCACCATGACCGGGGAACAAGTTAGTTGTTGTGCACCCTCATAGTTGATGCGAAGCCAGGCGACTGCGACCTACGCGGACATCGAGCTAGAGGCACTTACCAGTGCGGCGTTTGTGGAACAGGAGCAGAAACGAATGAAAGAGCAGCACCAGCAGAACGGAGGAGCTGCAGCTTCGACGAGTAAAAGTACGAATAACAAAAATGGCGATCATAAAAAGAACCCGAACACATCAGGATCATCATCGACATCAACTGCAAATAAAGCCACGAGTAAAAAAGAAGAGGTAATGAACGACGCCCGGGGCGGCGGGTCCTCTCCGTCTCTGCTGGGCCAGCTGATTTCGGAACAAGAGAACATCGAGGAAGAATCCACTGCGCACCTAGAGCGGGAACTCAACATGGCCCTCCCTTTACCTCCGTCCCGGAGCCAGATGCTCGACGTGTACCAAGCAAAAAAGTAAGTGTTGACGGTAACGGTTTTGCTTTTGAGGTACTTATTGCAGACATGCATGACAAATTTTCGCTATCATGCATGCTATGCAATACAAATTTAGGCATGATAATATTTCTCGTGCATTTCTGCATGCCAAATTCCGTGAACGCTCTAGCACTTTTTGGTGTGATAATGTGATCCGCGAGAACAAGGTTGAGGTCGCACCACCGATGGATTTGTCGCGGTTTCTGCACGACCCGGTGCAGCTCTACGGACGCAGCAACGCCTACCAAAAGAAGTTAGATCAATACGGACCGGATTACAGCAGCTACTGTCGAGTGGAGTTGTTTCGCGCCAAAAATAACGACCGCGAAGGCCCGGCTTCCTCGAAGGAAACTACCACTGCAAAGGAGATGTTGAAGCAGACAGTCGGGAAGCAGACAGGCAAAACTAGATCAGTCGGAGGCAGCACCAGAGGTGCAGCAGCACCACAGGTTGAGGACGGCTCGGGCTCCGGCCCTCCAAGCGAAACCGGATCGCGGAAACCCAGCACCGAGAGCGCTTTACGTGGTGGAAATACAGCTGCGAACGGCAAGAACTCTACTTCTTCTGCGGCGATGCTACGACGTGGCGATAAGAAGCTCTCGAATACTAGTGGTAAAACGAATAGTAGTACCGGCATCAACTCATCGTCGGAACAACGACCGCAGTCGATCAGTAGTATCCAAGGCACAACATCAAGCCTCGTATTCATATGAGATGCTGTCTTGCATGACAAAAGATCCACTCAGTCTACTCAAGTAGGCAAATCACCACTGCAAAAAATAAATCCGCTTTTTACCACGACCTTGACGTCGAACATTATTTCGATCTTCAGGCAGCATCTCATACGAGTGCGACAGTAATGATTTTGTAGAAATGCATAAGCAAGAAAGAAGAACGAAAGATGAAACAGAAGGAAAGGGACCTGCAGATCGCAGATAATCGGGTGGCATTGGAGAAGAGCTCCTTGCTCACGCTCGCCATTCGGTTTTTCCTCGAGAAGCCGCCGCAATGGTTTTGGCCCTTCGTGTATCGAGGAGAAAAACTGAGACGTCAGTGTACTATGTGTCTCGGAGTCGTGCCAGGAGCGTGTTGCCAATAAATTTGGTCTGCACGACGACTTTGACAGAGGAAGCCTGTTATGCGCAGCCAGTATGTGAAAGCACATATGAAATAGATGAGGATGTTGTCGTCCATGGCTTGCCCGCAATACAAGTGTATAATACGTTGCGTTCTCTCCTGCATGACAGACCACTTACACCTAGCGTCAGTTTTTTCCTTGGATATCGTTCTGGGGATTTTGTTGTGCTACATCCTCAGCGAGCCGGGAGAAGATGAACCGGATATGAGATGAGTGCACAACCGCTACTTCACCTTGTACCCCTCACTTCCATTTCCTTTTTTCATGGGCAGTCAATTAATATCCAGCCGCATTCAACAAGAGGCACAACTGTCTGCATGACAAATTTCAGATCATGAAGCGGCCCACACACAAGTAGAACTACAGCGCGGAGCAGACACTTGTCTTCATTCACAGGGTCCATTACTTATTTCATCACTACTCTTGCCGCTATTCCACCTATTGCTGTAGTTGGTGTTGATGTTCATGCCTTTTCTTTTAAAATGAGTACTAGCGGGGGATGTCGAAGTTTGCGCTCGCATAATTTCGGAGACGAGAGATGTTGTAAGACAGGGCAGCTGGAGAAAATATAACTGATGTGGAAGAAAGTCAATGTGTACGAAACGGGAACAGGAAAAGGTACTTACGACCTACACGGCTCTCAGCACTTTTTCCTTCGTCCATATCAAAGTGGTTCCTCGTTGAATCGATCTGCACGAGTTTCAGTTTGGATTTTTCGCGCTGCGTACCTCAATTTATGTTGAAGGACTATGACTATGACACAATAACTGTAGTTGCAACAATTTTTACCTGCAAACTGAAACTATCGCGACTTCATCTACTACTAGGTGCTGGTGACGTAACCCGCCAAAGCAGAGCATCCCGCCCTGCTTCCCGACCTACAGTTGTATTGTTTGTTGCAGTTGTTGTGCTGGCTGCTCTCGCACTAACATCATCGGATCGAGGACTGCGTCGACCTGTATTCTTTTGGACAGTTTGTGTTTGATCATGAAATTGGAGATGCTACAGTGGCAGCGCGAAGATTCACTGCTGCCTAAGTACCTTCTCCTCCAGATGATGAACTACAAGAAATGGCAAGAACTAGCACCGGTACGTGCGAGCAGATGGAAGACCGACGTCGAAAAATAATTGATTTCTTTAGGTGTTGTAAAAAAGAAATACTACTCGTGAAACTACGGGACACGACTCTGTGGTCTCAGTAATATGATCAGCACATCACAAGATGTTGCCCTTGCCTTAATACAAAGTTTACACATTTTTTCGATTCAGTCATTCGTTCCTGCTACAAATCATGAGTCTTCATTATTTCGCTCGACTTGTAGTTCCAGCTTCATCTCGACGACGGCGATAGGCAAAACACCTGTTGCTTGTTGACACGATTGTTGCTCCAGCAGCCTCTGCTGCAAAAATCAGATCGGGATATCATACGGCCGGAAGAAGAGCATCATTTTCCTCGTCACAGCGTGATGTAACTTCAACAAACCTCCACAGTTATATCGCACTCCTGAGCTTCTACAACATCTGGGTTTTTTCCTTTTCTTCACTGAGCTTTCAAATATGTCAGCGATGAACTAGAATTACAGTCGACTTTTTCATACTTTTTTCTTGCCCGACGTACTACTAGGTAGCTTGCTAGAACTCACACTTTTGTGATGAAGCTCGGAGAGCCTTGTCGTACTAGTTTGAATGACGCTGTCGTACGGCCGCCTCTCCTTCAACAGAAAAGAACACACGCTTTGCAAAAACTGGTGCCGCAGTCTACTTTGTACGGCAGTGGACTACTAGCAGCGAGAGGAAAAACAAGCCACGACACGTTGATGAATCATCTGCGAAATGGAGGGAAAGAAAAATTTGCAGGAAACGAAAAAAACGCCTCTGCAGCTTCTATCTTCGTGCGATCGACGCAAGATCGTTTTATGATACAGCGATATGCTGGTGCTGCAACTGCACTCTACCTATCTAATGCACAATTCATTGTACGGCCCAAGAGGAGCCAACAGGCTCGTCCTTTTGCCACGGCTTTGTTGAAATTTCAACTCTGTTTTACTCTTGCTTTTCTACCAATTGCCTGCTTCTCGCTTTCTCAATTTTTTTCTCGCAAAATTATTTCGCTACACAAAATTCCATCTTTAGTGTATTTTCCATTTTCATCAACGCAACTTTTCAATTCAAATAACCCAATCGACGTTTTAACTCAGTCGCATCGTCAAAGACGCTCATTGGTGCGTTAGATGGATGGTGGTTAGCTTTGATATTTGTTCTGGCAAAAGCGTATATTTTACATCTAGAATGCAGCTACGGCTGATATGTAGACAAAGTAGGAAGCAGCTGCATTCTGTTCAGTCTTCACAATTTGATTACAAAAAACAACCGTACTTTAGATTTGGCAATAGTGGTGCAGCGCTAGTATCTTCTAGTGAGAGCTACCGCTCATCTTACACAAGTGGAAAATGATCACTCTCCTCGACGGTATCGAAGTAGCAACTTTCCACTTGACACTTCGCTATATAGTTTACTTTTGGAAGAAATAGATCGAAGTGGAAGATCTGCGGGCTGTGCCTCATCTCAAGAGATCTTGTTTCACGCCGTCCGTGGTGCCTTTTTGCCACCCTTTCGAACAACAAGTGCGCGAGGATTTTTTTCGAAGAAGATCCAGCGGAAAGCACTTTATTTGTTTATCTTTTTACTGCGTTCGCGATCTGTTTCTTTTCCGTGCTCACGTGGTATGCATGTTCTTTTGCTTTTTGATGAAGTGGTAGACTGCAGCTGCCGCGATCATACGTGGAGCTTCTATATCTTCGCTTCATTGATGCACCACTTCGACTTCCGATCTAATCGTGGTTTTGATTTCTGTGCATTTTTACGGACGGGGGTTAAAGTCGATGCAGCGACAGCGTATTAACGTTGACGACATCCCCTCGCTTCGTTCAAGAATTATGTTGGCGTCCAGTTCGTCCTCGTCGGCCTGCGTTGAACTATTTTTTGTATTGCAAGAAGAGGAAGATAGTGTAGCCACACCAAGACCAAATACAATTTCAAACCAACGCCTTAGAGGAAGGAGTATCGTGCACCGGTGCTGCTGCTGGTTTCGGTTCGTTCCAACCGTTTCGAGACTAGCTACATGCATCGATATTAGGCTTGGGCGCAGCTCGGTAGTTCTACGTTGTTTTCAATCCTACTTCCGGTTCCGAGGTGGTTCTTCAAAACTACGATCTGTCTCATTAAGTAGATCTATTTAAATATTTTTATCACCTTGCGCTTGCCGATCCGTCTCCGTCGTTAACACCTTCTTTCTTAAAAGCAAGAAGCTCTCGTCGCAAAATCATCATGGCTTCAACATCCGGAGGCAGATCGGGCGACGGTCGTGTGGCTTCATCACCGGCGAGGTGCAGGAAAGAACTTCTTGAGAAAAAAGCATCTTTGCTCGGCCGTTTGCTGGATTGGTATAACCGCATGCTCGAGACCTACCCCTACGAAGCCAACGCCTACTCCACCGCGATTATCGGGGCTTTCGCAGACTTTCTCAGGCAGCTTTTGGTCTTTTACTTGGAGCAACGGAAAAATAGACGCACAAGTGCTCGTCCCGGTGTTGTTGCCGGCGCCGCTCCTGGCGGTGCCTCTTTCACATCTTCTGCGGCGACCCCAGGGGGCGGTCCGGCGGCGGGTGCAAAAATGCAACTATCAAATGTAAAAGTGTCTGGGTCTGGAAGAGTGCATGTTTGTCACGCTTGTCTGGCATGACTCTTAAATCTGTCACGCACGTTACCCAAGAGCGCCACTTTTTTGCCATGCAGAGACGCAGTTTGTCATGCAGAACCTAGAAGCTCAGAAACTTCTCATGCTGAGCCAGCACTTGTAGCCTCCTCATGATACGCCACCCAGCATCACAAGTTTCCAGACCCAGACACTTTTGCACTTGATAGCAACTACTCGCACACGAATTCTGGCAAAAGTTGGAGTTGAAATCCATTCTTGAGCAGTATCTCCTTGGCTTCGCGGTTTTGCACCCCGTTTGCTACTGGTTTTTCGAAAAGATCGAGGCCGTGTTTCACCCACCATCAACAGAAATCACTGATAATGATAAACATAACGAAGTCCTCAGCAGCACGCGGAACAACAGCAAGAAGACCCCGACCCAGGAATTTTGGACTGCGTTTCAGAAGGTTTCCGTGGAAGAGCTGATCTTCGCCCCTGTTTTTAACCTGGTGTTTCTGACCTGTGAGGATGTGCTGCGAAGGAAATCCGTCGCGGAGGCCGTTCTGAGTTACTTCCGGAAATTCAAGCAATTGCAGCTGACAAACATGGCATTTTGGTACCCGACGAACATGGTGAACTTCTACGTTGTGCCACCGAAAAGTAGAATGCTTTTTGCCAACTTGATGAATATCCTGTGGATGGTGTATCTCAGTATGAAAAGCAAGCAGGAAGGTTGAGCAGGACTGCTACGTTTTATTTTTGTCGCTACTTTTTCAGAGAAAAACCAAAACGTAAAACAACCAACGAACTCAAAGTCAGAATCACGGCGGTCTGGATAGATTCGTGATCGTGTTCGAAGTACAGCGATGCAACATAAGTACACCAGACCCAGAACCAAACTAACCCGCCGCGTCCAGTGCACGGAAATAGAGGTGTGCCGTGCTGGCTGTTACTGTTTGTTTGCATTGCATAATCGCTCCTGTCGTCCGACTCCGACCTCGATGCTACTCTTGATATTCTCGGAAAAAGAAAATTGCTCGGTTTAGTAGATGAGAATAGCTCCTAGTACGCGAGGACACGTGTAGAAGTTGAGTTGCTAAAGGAGTGATCGAAGGTTTCCTCTGTAAGTGATAGATTGAACGCAGAGCGAGTTGGAAATGTACCAAGAGAGACACTATGAGACAGTCGTGGCAGGAGAGCTGAGCGAGTATGAAGACGAGGAGAGGCACGAAAACGAACTGTGACTCGTAAGCTGGAAAGGTGGACCTTTAAGAGGATGCATTTGATGTGTCACACGTCGACGTGTGCCACACGTCGACTCGCTTAAATCTTGATCGCACATCTTCGACAGGTTGTAATTGCAGCATGCACGACAACGTATTTGCTTGTTTTTCCCTCGCATGATTCAACATACGAGTCGCAAAAAAAACAAATTCTACTTGTTCTCTGTAAGATAGTAGCGGCTATGCTGGCATCATGTGCAAGCACGCCCTCGACTTCTTGGAGTCGAGTAACATCCTCGAGTAGAAACCTTGTTGATCTTGATCCCTTGATATACTTGCCTTCACCCGAACTTGGAAGAAGAGCACCACGATAGGCCATGTGATACCACCCCGGTCGTGAATTATATCGTTCTAGGCTAGGTATAAGTATGTGATTCAACCTCCGAATTGTTGTTCCTTCCTAGTGTTGCGTAGAATTTTTGTTCAACAGCTGTCTTGAAAATGACCGACGCAGGGTGGGAGCTGATCGATGACGAGAAAGTCATCGCTCTGCGGAACGAACTGAAAAGCCTCAAGGACCAGCTAGAGGTACAGCTCATTTTTACTTTTTGTTCTGGATAGATAAAGATTTCTTGTCTACCCAGGCAGTAGGACCACGAGAGAAGAAAAATATTTATATTTGCAGGTGGACGTCGACCTCGACCCTTTCTCGCTCATTCGTTCTTGTCGTTGCTAGCTCATTTTCCCCCAATAAACTTTAACTTTTGTTTTTTTTGACACAAGGACACTAAAGCTCCTCGACGTCCGACAGGAGCATGCATCATGTATGATATGCATATGGAAAAAAGATCTAAATCCGAAATAGTAATAGTGAATGCCCGCAAAATTGTGTTGAATCAACTATCAGGCGGAGAAACAAAAGACATTGGATACCGCGGCCCGATTTGAGCGCGAAGCCGTAGAGGCTGCCAACGAGCATGGCAAGAAGCTGGAGGCGCAGCGGTCGGAGGTGGACTCCTGGCGGCAACGATTGGATGAGGAAAAAACCGCGAGAAAGGAGCGGGAACTGATGCTGCACGAGCAGCTAAGTAACGAGAAGAAGCAGCTAGAGACCGCGCTGAAGGAAAAGCAAAAACTCGCCGAAGAATGCGCAAACCTGAAAACAGTGCACGAGGTACAAGAAGAAGACTTGATTGTGATGTTGTTGTTGAGGAACAATCAAATCATCTTATCTAGTGTTTAATATGTTCTTTCAACAGTTATCATGTAAGTATGACAGGTTTGTAAGTACAACAGTACGCAGCTGTTGAACTACGTTCATCATGTTGCACAAAAATGTCTCTACTACTTGTCGTGATGGGCCCCACTTGGCTTTCATCGTGTAACTCCGCATCGAGGAGCGCGACGCACGAGAAGCGTCCTCCGTTTTGTTGCCCACCTCGGAAGTGATTCTTGATCATTTATACTGCATCAGGCCGAGTCCAAGAACGCCTTGGCAGCCACGGAGAACCAGCAGAAGCATTTTCACAGCATGTTGGACCAGGAGCGCGCCTCCGCTGCCGCGTCCATTCGCGACATTGTCGAGAAGCAGCAGAAGCAGGAGCAACAGGCGAGCCGGGAGTTTGCCAATCAGCTGGACGAGTTGAAAAAGCAGCTCCAGGAGGAGAAGAAGCAGTCCGAACAGATATCCTGAGTAAAAACATCTCCACCCCGGAGCTGTCATGCAGATTTGCAATTGCAGGAAGATTTGTAATGCGCACCCCCATGAGAGGCATTTCCAGTCGTGTTTTTGGAATTTCTGATGCTGCAAACAGGATGGGTAGATGGGTTTGTGATGCGGCTGCACTTGCTAGACTGCACTACAATGCAGAGAGGAACAAACTTGTCATGCGTGACTCCCAAAGCTTCTGGATTTGTGTTGCGAGAAGATCCCCATCTTGACTCTGGCGTGGGGACGTTTTTAGACAGGATAACAGAAGCTGCAGGAGGAAAAGACCAAGGCGCACGAAGCCAAGCGGAACTGGCACAAGACCGCGGAAATCGAGAAGCGCACCTTCGAACTGGAGAAGCGAAAAGCCTCCGACGAGCTGGAGAAGGTGAAGCAGCAGCTGGCGCAGGCGGAGCGCGAGAAGTCGATGCTGGAGCAGGCGAAGCGGTTAGACGAGGAGAAAAAGCAGGAGCAGGTGCAGTTCTACGTGAAAAAGAACGAGGTGATGGAGCAAGAAGTGCAGAACTTCAAGCAAGAGGCGGTGACCAGCAGGAAGGAGCGGGACGCCTTCGAAAACGCGGTGGGCAATCTGAAGAACGAGCGCGACCAGCTGAAAAACTCGGCCGCCGGGATTGAGGCGGAGTTGAAGCAGTGCCGGGAAACGCTGAAGTCTCTGGAAGCGAGCAACGCGATGCTCAAGTCTAGTTGTTTTTAAACACTTTTTCTATGAGTAGACTACGAACGTAGTAACACTTATTTGTTCTTTTTCGTATCAGACTGAGACTGAGGCCATCCGCCATCAAGCCTTGCTGTATTGATTGTATTTTCACCGTGCATGATTTTTACACTCAATACCAATATTACGAGTGCCACCACTACTAGCCACCCATGACAGACAGACGATCTAACCTGAGTCAACATTTCTATGCACCATCAAAGAAACCCCAAACTCCTATTTCAGATGCTCCGCAAGCTCTTCGGAGGAAGCAACGAAGCAGTTGGAAAAGGAACTCGAGAAGAAAGCGATGGACGGGTCCCAATTGCACACCGAAAACCAACAGCTGAAGCACCAAATCGAGGAGCTGAACCGGTCCATAAACGCGTCGAACCAGCAGAACGAGGCGATTGAGAGGGATAACAAGCAAACGCTCGAGAAGATGCAAAAAGCGGTGGAGGAGCTGACCGCCGAAAAGAAAAAGATCGAACACGAACGCGACGAGGTCAAGACGAATTACGTGGAGTTGTATCCACAAAAAAACACCCATCCCCATAACATTCCACCAATCTGTCATCTTCGTGCAAAACATGCTGTATCAAATTCAAATCTCGCACTAGCCATGCAGAAAATGAATGGGAGTATGGGTGTTTTTTGCTGGATAAGTTGGTGGAGACCACCAAGAGGTCGCTGGAGGCCGAAAACACGAAACTGCGGTCGGAGAAGGAGGAACTGAGTCAGGAGATGTCGCAGCTAAAGACGGAAATGCAGGCACAGCAGAACGAGCTGGACATGTATCGGAAACTACGGGAGATGGACTGAAAATGCTGGTATTGACAAGAAAGACGCGGTGTGCATGTGCTTTAGCATCTTGGATCTTGCTCACCTCCCTCGTCGCATGACGCCGCAAAACATTTCTAATTCTAGCACATGCTGTCAAGAAATTGAAGTATCTTTTTTGCAGATGAGCTGCAGCCAGCGTACTATACTCTGACTCAATACAAACAGCTACATTAACTTTTCTTCATCATTAACCTTATGCAGAGCTGAATTTTTAGACATGGGTACTTAATGTCACCGCTTTGAGCCCCCGTCGGTCGTCGTCGTCGTCCACGACTACAACTTACCCGCGTAGTAGCCCCGCGCTTTGCGCTCTTGTCTTCGTGTTGCTCATCAAATGCCCTTGTGCTTGTTCATTCTATGCTGAAAAGCTCCTACCAGTTAGCACATGAGCAGACCCATTTTTGACTTTTGGAAGATTCCTAGCCCAGGCTTGTTTCTATTGAAACTGTTGATCATACGAAGGAAAGGACTTCTAGTTTTTTTCTTACAGCGCATATGTACGGACTTCAACACTTCCACCCGTACTCGTACAATATTTCGGACGATTCTATCGTCCAAAGAATTAATAAAGCCCAAACGAGGAGGTGGAGGAGGACGAGGACGAGGAGCCCGCGGCGAGCAAAGTTAAGCCTCGTTCGAACTGCGTCTCCGCTGTAGAGCTTTCTGCGTCATCAGTTTCGTGGTCAAGAGCTGACTCTGACTCAATTAGGTTTAGACGTGTTGAACATGTAGGAAGAACTTCACATGATACAGCTAGCTGTGTTTTTGACTTTTGGACTCCGAATTTTTTCCCAACGACATGAATGAACATTTTTCACAAGAACAAAACTCAGACCGATAGACCGGGCTACGTTTTGAAAAGCGAAACTTTCCGGATAGTAGCGAGAGGAAATCTTCCTAGTTCGTTGTTAAAGTTACCCCCTGAATGAGAATGTCGCATACATTTGAAGTTGATCAATTTTTTTTGTTTATCGCAAAAGTAAAAAGATATATATGACTCCAAAATTACAGCCTTGCTCCTGGTCTCTATCTCAATCTTTATTCATCAGTAGAGCAACATCGAAGCTCACCGCTGCAGCGGGAGCAGTAGCTGGTGTCTTTGCTGCTGGTAGAAGCTCTTGATGTGACGATAAAGAGCAGGCAGGTCGTATTTTGTCTGATTCCTTCCCCCGGTTCATTTCCCTACTTCCCCCGACCGTTCTTTACTTGGAAATTAAATTTGAATCGCAAATTATGTTGAGAAAAATAAGCTATAGCCTAGATAGATTCCCAACGCTTGAAAATTAGAAGTAAACCTAAATGTTGTAAGTATCTATGTAGTGTTAGTGTCCACCACGTCCACGACCAGTCCGGCGGGTAGTAAGTTTGAGGTGCTGGAGTTAGTCGCGTCCTCGTTGTGTCTGAGAAGAGACAACAAGGAAGGGTCTTCTCTCTGTTGTGTCGCCACATCCAGTGACGGTCTTTGTGTGTTATTGGAAAGAAGGCAGGAGCGCTGCCGGCCCCGGCAAGAGCGTGTGGGTTGACTAAGACCCCGCTGTGGCGATGAAGATTCTTGTTACGACCACGCCGCTGATTTTGAATTTGATATCGCAAGCGCAAGAACAAATACCTCGCCGTAGCTCTAACCCCAGCAAGAAATCGAGCCTTTTTCACAGTGGAGGTGGACAGGCGTTTACTTCACGCTAGTACTGAAGGCTTCTCTACTTTCAAGAAAAACAAGAGAAATTGGTCCTCATCCATCCATCGTCTTCCAGATCATGGTGGAAATAACGATAAAGGAGGTATCATTTTTTCGTGCCGCTAACGAAACTTCGGGTGGGGCCTCGCGCCATCGTGATCCTTGCTGTTCATCATTCCACGTTCAACATCTTCGATTGTTGCGTTTTACGCAGCTGATGTTGAAGATGTTAATGCAAATAGTTTTCCTTGCTTCTTATTGGACCCCGTTTGGTCTGTGTAAGTTTATTTTGCCTATGCTTATTGTTGTAAGTATGTACTTCTCTCAAGAATAAAATGAGAGAATTGAGTTCAATTTCAAACGAGGATAACTTGTGAGTGTCATTTCCATTCTTCTCCTGTTTTCGCTTTCATTTACCCGTCAAGAAATGTTTTCTATTTTGCGACAAAAACAAGTGAAAATCTGTTTCAACCGACCGTCCTGTATCAGTGCATTCGAACAAGAGGGAACAAAAATAGATAAACAAAAAAATAGTACAAGCATCTTTATGACCCTGGCCAGCACGCAGCACGACCACGTTCGTCGTCGTCCCATCGCAGAGCGTGGTGCTGCGCTAGTGATTGTCCTGTCAAAAAAATTATGACGGCTAACCGCAAAACGTCAAGATGGTCTTGCCTTTGACGCGTTTTCGCATTGAAGATCGTGTGCGTTGGCCAGCTCGTGCACCTCCAGAGTTGTTGTGTGCGAAAGAACGCATCTTCAAAAATCTCTGTTGACGTCCTCAGCCTGTCGTCCTGCCGCTGCTTATAAAAAAACGCTGCGCGATTTGGGAATAAACGTTGTTGGGCGGTGAAAAGAATAATCACCGGGGGAAAATAGGAGAAGTTCTTGCGCCTACTGGTTCGAGATCGAGGAGGAAGTTTCTGCAACGAGCTGAAGCCTGCCAAAAATGACACTCTGGATCCTGCAGAATGTGGTCCTCTTCCGCAGTCCGTACGAGCGGGTTTTCATCGCCCCCCGGGCTTCCGCCGGCTACTGCGTCTGGCTCGCGTGCACGATTGCGATACTGCTCTTGCCAATTTTTCTCGCTTATCAACTGGTACAAACATGTAGCTCATCTCCCTCTCAGCGGCAGTGTGAGAAAAAAAATTTTTTTCATGAGAAGCCATAGTCAAGAACATCTTGTTCCCGCGACAACAAAGTCGTGGTGATTATGGACCTTGCAGCTGCACTGCTGGTTCGTCATGGTCATGTTGTATGAAGAAGACACACAAAGTCAAAGGCAATGACAAAGTTTTGTTCGCGAACGGCATCGATCCATATAAATATCTCGCACACGACTTGGTCGCCGTGAGTGTGACACGCGAACCTCTGAGGACTACATGTTTGCAGTGGATATCGTTTACGCTTCCGGGGGACTGTGGATAAAAGAGGCGTTTTACAGGGAGCAGCCGTACTTTGATGGTTATTCTCTGTCCTTTTTAAAACTTGCTTTAAAAGAGCAACTTGCTCGTGCTGTAGCTGTACTATGGAAGTGCTTGTTTTGTGGATAATTTCGTCATCAATGTCAGCAAGTGCACCGTGTTGTGATGTGCTGCAAGTGTGAGATTCCACGATGCCACAGCACTTCCAATTGACAACAAAACGTGAACATCAGTGTTGTCCGATTCAACCACGACATGGTCGTTGCCGTCCAGGGAGACAATACCGCCGGTTTTTGGAGCACTATCCCATGAAAAATCACTCTAGGAGGAGGAGCACATGATCCACCTGTATCACTCTCCCAACCGGAATTCTAAGATTTGTAATGCGAAGACGGACCACGACCCTGCACCGCGCGCAAGTGCGCCACGATCTGTGCCTTCTTGCGTTTTATTTTCCGTTATGCATGTACTCAAATGGACCCTTAGCATCGGAGCGTAAGTGCTACTCCTAGACTCGAGAGTGGTTTTGCATAGCATACGTACGGACGTGAAGCTAAACGAATTGAATGCGAACTCCGTGAAAGTGCCAGCTGTCAGGTACTTAAGTCGCTTCACCGTCTTCTTTGTTGCTCGTGAAGTGGTAAAGCGACGAGCAATTTGCTTTTGCATTTGTATCTTCTACGAAACACATAGATGAAGAAAGTGAATCGTCAAATGATCTACAGCGCGTACTTCTGCATCATTTCATCAGGTGATAATTTCTGTCCTTCACCATTCAACGCAGGTATCAAGAGCTCGACAAGGACGTAGACGGAATACCCGACGAGCTGATAGTGAAGGTCTCGATGCCCGTTGCAGAGCCAGCAAAGCGAGTGCTGTTTCTGGGCGCGTTTCGATACCAGTTATCCGGAACCGTAAAAATGAACATGAAGGGCCTCTTAGCCTGCGACGAGTCAAGCGGGCTGGGAGCGTCAGGTATGAAGATAGAGATAGTATCGATGATGTGATGGACGCCGGGCGGCAGGGGCTCAGCTGCTTTTCCAGGACCATCTTCTTCGTGACCACGTTACTTTCACGTCAGTCTGTGCAAGCAAAAAACTGTACATAGCTGCAATTTCTTTTTCTATTTCTTGCTGTGACATTGATATTGATTCGACGCGCTGAAGAAACCTCGATGACGAGAGATGATCTTTCTCTGCGCAGAAATTGTTTTCTTCCGAAATTGGTTTGTCCAGGTGTCACACTGCAGGGCAGTGTCGAGCTTAGTCAAGCAGAGGCTCTGCGTAGTTTATCGGAGCCACGAACAAAATACATCGCGAGTCCCCTGGCCTGGAGCTGGGAAAGCAGCACCGCCTACACCAAGCTTGACCCCTTCACGTTCCCCGCGTTACTAGAGCAGTACTCACAAAGGAATGAGACAATAAGGTAAAGCACATTTTTATAATCTGTTTTCACCAGAACAACATAGCCTGTTTCTAAAATGACCCGCTTTCGCGTTTCCTCAAAAGATGTACTCGTAGCTGTCTACTTTTAGAGATGACAACTTGAAGCGTAAACTACTTTCGTCTACTTTGGCTTCATCGGCAGGCTCCGCCCCGACCTCCCAGCGGTCTGGAGCTACCAACCTTCGAACACCTTTGATCTCGAATATCATCCAGAAAAAGATGTCTACGAGAGTCGCACGTTGCCTAGGTCGAAATCGATGCATGTGCCGCGCGCTAATATTACTGGAGAGTCATTCCGGTTACGACGCAAACTTGATTTGTATTGCCAGATTTTTTTCAGTACTTGGATTTGTGGTCGTATGTCTTATTGTAGAACGAAAAGGTGGAGTGACAACTTGCTAGTAGGGATTGCGATTGCCCCCCTAACTCGACTTCGTGCGACCACTACGAGCATTATTTTTCCGTACCATGTTGCAATGAGGGCCCAGATACCGAAGCAAGTCGTGTACTACACGCCCGTATCCAGAAAAAAAAAACCATCCCCATCCATTTTTAGCATGACAAACACTGCACTCTATGCAGGTTTTGCATGACAAATTGGATGTGGATGGGTGTTTTTTTCTGGATAGCCCGGGGCGCTGGAGGAGCTGAAGCACGGGTGGGTGCACATTGCCAGTTTCCTCTTCCCGGTGTACCTGCTGATCTATATGCATTGCAAAACTATCGCACTCGTACAAAAAATTCACATACTTTTTTTTTTCAAAAGGAAAAGGCCTTCAAATTGATGCTGCCCCAAATGTAGAAACTAGATTTGTCATAGAGCAGTACTGGTGAATTTCTAGGAGTGCGATACTTTTGCACTGGATAGCCTACGCCTTCCTGCGATTTCTGTACACCAATCAGATCGTGCAGACGTACTGCTGCACGCAACTTCCCTACGTAAACTCGAAGGCGAGTGGTGGGGGATAGAGAAAGGCTCGGGGCGCGCTGATGCAAAGGAGGGTCTTAAGAATATTTATGAATATTCCTCTCCTGCTTGCTTATTCGTGGAAAAATCCAAACGAAAATCTAAAAGCAGGCGCAAGGAAACGCATAGAAAGAAACTAGTTTCGTTTCTTGGCGGAAAAAGATAAGAATAAGATAAAGATTTTGGTTGACCAGAACTTCGCTCTCTAATTCCTTTGATACCTCGTGTTAGTGTCCTCCGAGATCGAGATGGTCCGGAACCTCGTCACAATTTAGATTCAAACAGAAACAATAAAGGAGCACGATCAACAAAGTACGTGCCTCTGCCTCATTTGTAGATTCACGGTTTGGGCAGGTAGTAGGATAAGTAGTGAAAGAACCACGAAGCTCTTTTCGACGCTAAAAAATGCATTTGTGTGTTGCCTGCAGACCTAGTACCACAAAGATGGCTTCTAGTAGTAGCAGCAGACTGGAAGAACATTCCAAAGCCACAGGAAATGCTACACTCTTCGCCCTCCTAGTCGCGTTGCTACGCGGGCTTGCGCGTGCGTCACGCGTAGTACATTTCGTGTGTTTATGGCACCGTCGGAGGACTTGGCGGGAATTTGTTTTTGCAGCGCACAGCGAGAATGACTTTCATAGAAGCCGCAGTCCCTGCTACGACGCACACACGCACAAAGAAGAAGAAGAGAACGACGGGAACAAGACATGATGCCGTCGTCTAGTGCTGTGAAGAATCGTGCGATTGTGTGCATCTTCGTGAATGTGCAAAAAAAAGATTAATTGGAAGCGCGGTGAACAACCAAAATGAAAATCTCCAAATATTGAGCTCCGCGCCGGTGGTCGTGTAGAGTACGTAGCATCACAAGAGCTGTGTGCGGGAGGTCTTCTTGGTTTAGTCGACATAGACATACAATATTACCCTCAAAAGAGCTCGAGAGAAGAAATTTACAACCGCCGCTGCGTGGAGGGGTAATTAAAAGTATGACTCAAGCACTACTAGCTCTAGTGCTTTTATTATTTCTTGCATATGTTGTCACTTTGCATGATCGTTGTGAGTTGTGTCTGTCCCATTACTCGCCCCTTGCGAATAAATGGAAACAGGTCCTCCAGAAACAATGAAGCTGTATTTCTGAACGAATTATTATGCCGTACATGTGTAAAGGAGTTTTACTTTTAGCACAATAAATTATTGCAATTTCTCGTGCGTGATCCTCTTCGCTGACGACATAAAAAAAACCGCATTGTACGAAGTAAAATATCTAGCCAGAGCAAGAATTAAAACTCAGAGTCAAACCAAGGATGTTCGGCGGCGGCGGCTTTTTCGACGATGACCCGTTTTTTGCCGATCCCTTCGGTGTAACAAATGCAAATATGTCTTGGTGGTCTGGACGAAATGGAAAAGCTGTCATCATGCTGAAGATAATTCTTTGATGATGTATTGCACAGAGACCACAGACGGAAAGAGGCAGCCACGTATGACACATGTTTTTGGAGGGGAGTAGAGCCGTGCTACGTAGTCATGCTCGTCGAGCGATGCTCTTTGCTATTGTGCGTCAGCAATGGTCCTCCCCGGTCTACAGCATACATCACAAACTCCTCAGTGTTAGCCATGCCATATAAGCATTGCAGAAAATCTTGGATTCTTCCAGACGATGATCCAGAGGGCAGAGACAAGTTTGCAATGCATACCGTCGCCAGGCAGGCTCGCAACAGCAGCCACACCCACGTGACAGTAGGGGCGGCAGAAGCTCGCAGAATCAGCAGCAGCTCGCGAGGCCACGGTAGCACTTGCTGCATTGGTTCTTCTAGTTGCATGCTACTCGTGTTTTTATGCGGTCCTGGTGTTGTACATCATTTTCATCAAGTACACAACTGCAATGGAGATGTAGTAGCTCTATAATATTACAGTTTTTTTCGATTAAAACCAAAGAACACTCCACCATAACATGCAGGGACCCTTTCGCCGCTATGGAGCAGCGGATGTCGCAGATGATGGGAGGCGGCGGCATGATGATGCCCAGCGGCGGGGGGTTTGGTATGTTTGGCGGAGATCCGTTTGGCGATATGCAGAGTTCTTCCATGTCAAGTATGATCTCGAGCAGTCGTGGTGGTGGCGGAGGCGGTTCTTTCTCGTCCTCGAGCACGATGGTTTACTCCTCGAAAATGGGTCCGGACGGAAAAATGCACACGGAGCGATTTTCCTCCAGTGCAGTGCGGGACGGGCAGCGAGACGCGTTCGAGCAGCAGCAAGCGTATTCCAACTCTTCCACGGGCGTGGACAAAATGTCAATGGAGCGGCAATATCAACTGCAAAAATGTCTGGGTCTGGAAGAATGCACGTTTGTCATGCTTGTCTGGCATGACTCTTGAGTCTATCATGCGCGTTACCCAAGAGCCCCACTTTTCTGTCATGCAGAAACGCAGTCTGTCGTGCAGAATAGGCAACATCTAGAAGCTCAGAAACTTTTCATGCTGCGCCAGCACTTGTGGCCTCCTCATGATACGCCACCCAGCATCACAAGTTTCCAGGCTGAGACATGTTTGCAATGCATAGGCAGCACCAGAATCGCGGGCGGAAAATGGTGAAGGAGTACAGCCACGCCACCGGCGAAGACCGGCAAACGGAATTTCTCCGCGGCCTGGAAGATCACGAAAAGAGTGCGTTTGACGCCCAGTGGCACCAGGAAGTAGCTCCGCACCTGCCACGACACGGCCGCATGTCGATGCCGGCGATGAGCGGTGGATCCGCACTGCCGCAAGGTACTCGTTTTTACAGGCTTCATTTAAATTTTCTGCATGGAGGATGTTATTGTTGACGCTTTTCTTCACTTTGTGTTTGTGCCTTTCGTTCACATGTTGTTTCGACGAGCAGGTGAATTACCTGTGGTGGGGTTTCGATGTTCATCTGGAGTTGATGCTGAAGATGCTTCGACGAGACTACCACGCTTTGTATGTTGGTCTCTTGCAGCCGTTGATCACTGAATCGCTGCACACTTAAGGCGATAGATCGCGCTGTCGCATCAAACTTGAAGTGGGTAGTGCAGCACTTTAGTACTTCTCGCATGATTTTGAACGAACCAGGTCCGTCGTCGCGGTCCCTCCTTGGCGGCAACGGTGCTGGAGCACGGCGCTCTGAAAACGTCACCAGCAGTCGACGAGGCGGAGGTCGTGGAGGACCTGCCTTGGAATACAGGTGAAGCAAAACTGCAGGCGTCGTGGCTGCCGAAATGGGTCGTCGTGGCGAGCAAGTACAACATAATCGCAACTGCACAAGTCTAGTCGTTGGAGTTTTTTTGCGCTCAACCAGAAAACAAATCTGAAAACAAATTCTAGTTCTTGTCCTTACAACTGAGCAAAAGCTAGTGCCGCCTACGCCGGTGTCTGCGCTACTGAAGTCGCGCATCAACGGTGGTCCATTTATTTGATCAACATCTGCCACCTCCACCTGGCCGCCGATCGTGCGATAGCGGCGCCTTCATTTACTTGTGGGCCTAATCATTTGGGAGGACGCGACGCAGCTGGAAAAACTCGCAGAGGAGGACGCGATCACTGTCATTTCCACCTCGAATAGATTTTCACATCATTCCAATGAAAATCAAAATGGATTCGGATGAAATAATCTGTGATAAAATATTTGGATGAACTTCTACAAGATCAGGAATGCAAGCAAGAGAAGCCGTGGTATTTTTTTACTTGTTTTCACAACTGCACTAGAAGTGTCAAGATGGGAATTCGTTGGAGATTCGGTGGTGGAGTATCAATTACAGAAGTAATATTACGAAGGAAATAGTGGCCATAGAAGTTTCAGTTTGTCACTCATGATTTACATTTTTGTGATTTGTTGGCTTACAACAAAAAGGGTTGGGCAGCTCTGCTGCATACCATGAAAATGAGTCCGAGGCTAAGAAACTTGTGGTGGTTCATCAATGGAGTCCCCGACAAGCATGTCAGGATGCTCTTCCATTGGTGCGCTAAGAAACTGTAAATCCGACCCCCCCGCCGCTGAACGGTAATTGCGTCAACATGCACCACAACACGTGTTTAGTTGACCGAAATAAGCGCAGCTACTAGTTCCTGACTTTTTCCCGGCCATGCTGTTCCTTCAGGGTCGAGATCGCTTTCCGCGACTCGTAGTTTATCCTCGTCGAGATGTTGATCGTGATGTTGATCACGAAGTCGATGATCTTCTTTATCTTTATTGTACTTGACGAGCACGACGACGGCTTGAAACGAGGCAAAAAAACGTTCTAAAAGATGAGAGTTTGTTAGTAGACGAGAGCAAAGAAAAAGAACAGCGTGTGCGCTTCTTAAGGTGAGCGGGAAAGAAAAAGAAAGCTACACTGGAACAGGATTGGGAGGACGGTGCGATTACCGCCTGACGTGCGCAATACATTAGCGAAGATTCTTCACGATGGCAGCCCCAGGTCGTCCTCCGAAGATTTTGGTTTTCGGCGCCAGCGGGCAGACTGGGAAGTACGTGACGAAATTCGCGCTCGAGTCTTCGAATGGCTACTGTGTGGTCGCGTTCGTCCGCACCCCCGACAAGTTGCGATCGCTGCTGCGCGACCTGGGCGTCCAGCAATCCGTCATCGATGCGCGTCTCGAGATCGTGCAGGGTGATTTGACTGATGCCGACGCGATTAAGAGCGTGATTCGCGAGAAGCTCACCCCCGAGACGGGCGACGTGATCATCAACTGTGCGGGGAAACCGAAGGCCTGCAGTCTGTGCGGCGGCGCGCCGCTGCTGCCGAACGCGGTGCGGGCGATCGTGGAGGCGATGCGACAGAAGGGGCTGAAGCGGTTTCTGAACCAGATGGGCGCGATGACAGTGGACAAGCGGCTGCGGCGCGATCCGTCGTACTACCCAAAGAAGTGCATGGTGCGCTGCTGTGGGCCCCTTATGTGCATCCGCGGCATGGTGGGGGACAACGAACAAGTGGCCCCGTTCCTCTACCAGGAGTGCGTCGATATCGAGTGGATCGTGAGCAGACCGGGACTGCTGGTGGAAGGGAAATCCAAGTGCGGCGAGAAACATACCATGGGTGTCGTGTCGAAGGAACCCTTTTCGACTGCGTACGTGGACCTCGGGGAGTGGACCGTGAAAGCGGTTTTCGACGCCAATCTGGTGCACACCTCGCCGACGCCGGGCTACGTCGCACGAAGATGAGCGCTGAAACCATGACTCTAACGTCGCTCGTCGTCCTCGACAGATGAAATAAATGAATGTGATCTCCATTTCCAGGAGGAGCGTCAATCCGGATCACTGCTGTGTGGTAGCCTCTGGATACTTAAGTAATACTTAAGTATCCAGAGGTAGATGCACACAGAGATAGCACACAGAGATAGATGCATTGGACTGATTGTATTCCTGTATCCTAGTTCAGTAGATCTAGATGAAGGAGTTTTCATTTTGTAAGTCTTCAAACACGAGGACGACGCCTGAAAAGTATAAACAAGGAAAGTTAGACGAAGAGAACAGAACAGAGAGGAGAAGGAGTATTTTAGTATTTTAAGAAACACAGCGGAAGCACGGGGCATTTTTAGTTACGATAAAAAAACAAGACAGTAGATCTTCCCGTTTCGAGGAGCACGCCCAACCACATTACGCAACTAACAGCGCGAGTTGTAGCAGGTGCCAGTGCAGTCACATGTGGTTCTATAAATATGAAGTATGAAGACGATTACTTTTATTTGTACTATGTATAGATGACGGACGAGATTTGTTGCAATAAAAAGAACAGTTTCTCCAAGACCGTAAGATAAGTAGGTTTCCCTTTGGTATTATCAAAACAGAGCAAGACCACTTCTCAACTCATTTTTTTTTCTTTCACAGGGCAGTGCTGTTGCTGCCTTAAGCAAACTTTTGTAGTTTTAAAGGTGATTTTCGCAACCCAACCTCCCGACCACAGTAGGACGCAGGCTTTGGAAGTAAGTAAACTTTTTCCTCCGGCAGGCGCACACTTTTAGACTTTCAACTGGAACTGTCTCTACCGGATGAACAAGAACAGCACGACTTACTTGAAGGCTAAACAGCTTCATTATGAAAGTCCGCAAGAATTTCATCGCCAGGACTACCTAGGCGTAGGCCGAATTCGATCAATTATCTTGTACGCTTTTTAGAAAGGAAGATATTAAAAAGCCTAGAAGTACGCTAAAGTAGAATCCAAAGAACTGCGGGTGTTTTAGTTTGTCATCGAGTAGCGCTAGAATCGTGAGAAAAAAGATCTGCCCTACATCAAACCTCGTACGCATCGCCACGAGCCCACCAGAACAAACAAACACACGAGAGTCGTTGCGCAAACGAGTCACAAAACAGTCCCCCTCCCTTGGAATGTATTAGATGTAATACAATAAACAATGAGTTTTGTGCTAGAAGAACTGGTCTTGAACTCACCCAAAACCGCCCAAGGCAACTGAGTCTTTGTTTTCAATAGAAGAAGGCAAGGACTTTGGAAATAAGATTAAAAGTGTCGATATAATGGTCCTCATCACGACAACTGAAAATCTTTGTTTCTCGTTTGTCGCATGACGATGTTTCTACGAAATTCACCAATAGTGCCACGTAGTGTAACCATATGTATGAATATAAGCATCCAACTTCTACGAACAGGGATTGCATCTAGTGGCGTACTACAACTGTAGTCACTACTTCTTGCTCCTAACCACACGAAGGGACCATCATGTCGGACGTTCTGTGGACCGGTGACTGCGTGTGCTGCGGCCAGCGCGAGCGGCTGGGCTACAGCCGGCGGCACGAGGGTTTCCACTGTTGCGCGTGCCACGACTACTTTGACAGCAGCTCGCGCAACAGCTCCTTGGCAAGTAGCGGCCGCGCTGTGTCGTCCGACGACTTTTTTGTGTACAGCATCCGCCCCCCGTTTTCCAGCTTTGCCGACCAGATCGTGGTCTCGGCGGGCAGCTCGAAACGGCACTGCGGACGCGGGACGGGGGCAAGTCTCTGGATTTCCGCGGAGCTTCTCATGGCGCACATGCTCTGGTTCCTCAAGTTCGATCACTTCGCATCAACAACAACCACGGAGGCGGTAAAGAACGTCGATAAAGGAGGCGCTAATAGTCTTCTTGGAGGTCGATCGAGCCTAGGAGGAGGACCAGGTACCAGCACCGCGCTCATCAGCAACAAAGGCTACGCGGCCAGGAGGGACCTCGTGAGCCGAGCAGTGACGCTGGTGCGCGCGAAACTTCTCCGGGAAGATCAGGTCGTGAATAAGAACTGCCACGTTGTGCCGCAGCACTGGAAGCTTGCTGTTAACGACAGATGTGACTTCCTCGGAGACCACGTGGGTTCTTGTGCTGTTCCGCTGAGCTCCACTAGGAACAGTCATGCCAGAGGACAAGAACAAATCGTCGAGCAGCCCCATCAAGTGGAAGTTGGCGCTGGAGTGCTGGACCACGCGGCCGCGCCTTCATCTCCCAGCGCCGCAGGAACAACCACTTGCAGTTCCTCCGCGCTTCTTTTGCAGAAGAGCCTGTATTTGCACCAGCTGACAAGGATTTTTGACGATCCTGCCGCGGTGCAGGTCGCAGACATGAACTCTATGCCGCCACCGGCGTTAGTATGTTCTCGGCCAGCACAAGGGGGCAGCACGACCACGAGCACAACAGCACTGGGATTCGCTGGCGCTGGTGGAACAGTTGCGCGCAGCGAAGGCGATGGTCCAGCAGCGGGTCGTGCCGCGGAAACCGGTACTAGAACTGGGAATAACGACCAGAATGCGCTGTGTCACATAGACTCCGTCTCCGCCTCCCCGCCGCGTTCACCGGGAGGAAGCATGAAACGAGCACGGGATAATCATGAACAGGGTGGAGAACCAGAAGCACCCTTGCAGGCCGTGGGTCGTTCGACGTTGGTCGAGGAAAACAAGAAGAATATCGACACCGCGCGTAGTGGCACCAGCGCGACATCAATCCCCGCGCCTGCGGGAGGAGTGACGCTGGTTCCGGCAACCGCGGCTAACATCCAACTAGTGGAAGACCGGCACCAGCAGAATGTCCCCACCCTTGTGCGGCAGGGCCAACAGTTGCTGTCTTCCCCGGTCTCCTTCGTTACCAGCGAGAACGATGAGGAGGACCTGGATGTAATCCAGGACTTTTACAACCAAGAAAACGAGGAGATGTCGTCGACCACCGCGTCCTGGGTGGACCCAAACGAACAGGAAGACCGCTACCGCTCGCTGTATGACGACGTTTGCAACTATGGGAGTGTCAGAATCGAAATTGACAAAATCGAAAAACTTGCGATGCACAAAATCGATGTCAGTTGGAGCCTCAGTTTCCAAGTGGCGCATGACAAACTTCGGGAGCACCCAAATCCAGTCTGTCATGCTGTTTGGGCACAGAAGACTGCTCCTGTCGTGCTACTCTGGCAGCACATTGCATACCCCTAAACAGGCTTACAATCGCTCTCATTTGCCTGCTCCCCGATACAGGCCTTCAGTGTCCTACATTTTACGCATCACAAACTTTTCGACTTTTTCGGTTTCGATCCTGACACATCCATAGCAACGGCGACAGCAGGCCGCTCGTTTCCTCGATGCTCTGCGGACCGGACGTGGAGGCGTTTTTTCTGCTCGCCCTGGAGCAACAGATCGAGGAGAAGCGGAAACTGGAAGCGGAGCTAGCAGAAGCGAACAGAGCAGTTGTAGCAGCACCAGTACCGGGGTCTTGCTCAGTAGGCGCGAGTTCTTTTCCGCCCGTCCCCCCGCCCATTTCGCAGTCCCTGCCCCCGCGGCAGCAGAGCCGGATGAGCGGTAAAATCAAGAAGCGGTTTCGCATGCGCACCGATTCGGTCCTTATGGAGCTCGGGTGCGGCCTCGCGCAGCCGAGCATCTGCCTGGGGTTGAACAGTTTGGCGAATTACACCGGAAATCACCCAGCAGTCGTGAACCCCGACGGCAGCGTGTGCTCCGCCTCCCCGATGGCGAGCGTTGCTCCTGTAAACCCACTGTTTAACCAAATTGCGACAAGCGCAGGAACTTCTACTGATCGTGATGTGCACGATATTGACAGCAGCTGCACGATGTTGATGCAACTCGAAGACGGGCGGGGGGCCACAAAAATTATGACTGCCTCGTTGGAAGGAGATGGACGTGGACCATCAAGAACAGTTTCGGCCGCTGGGGGAGGTGCTGCTTCTGCATCTAGTACAACTTCAGCTCCTTCTCATCCGCACCACAAGAGGGCGAGTGTGGAGTTCGACGAGGACAGGGGAGATTATGATCACCAGGATGAGGACAACTACGCTCATCTCGGCGTGCTGCTGGACTACAATGCTACGGACCAGAACGCGGTCGGGGAAACATCAAGAACGGCGGCCGCAAGAAGCAACAGTACTACACCTGGAAGTAGTAGAACTACCCAGCCAGCCGTGGTTCACCTGGATGCCTTACAGGCACAGATGGAGCGCTTACTAGAAGAACAAGCTGCAGGAAAAAGCAGCGGCACTAATACTCCTGCGACCTCTTCGCACGGGAAAGCGCGAAAAATCGACGACCACGCCGACAATTTTCTTGTGCCTGCTGGTGCAGACGGGCCTGCAAATATTCCGCCGGCTGAGCTGAAAACACCAAGTAGCAGTAAGAACACCGTACCTAGTAACGATCAATCGAGTGACGTTCTTGTGCCAGCTGGAGCTTCGTCAACAAAGCTCAAAGCAGTACAACATCACCGATTTCCGCGTATCGTCGCCACTGATATGGGCGTGGTGCTGCCGATCACGGAGGAAAACGTCGAGTGGATATGGGGTGCAAATATCGATCTGGGTCTGGAAGATCTGTGATGTGCGATCTGAAGGATATTAACCTTGACAAGGTCAAGGTTAGGACTGACCGACTTTTCTGTCATTCTGAATGAAGCCAGTTCGTGATGCGTTTTGCTTTTGCGAATGAACAATCTGCATTCAATGAATAAGGATAAGCATAAGCTGCATCGTAAAATGTTTGAGGTTGTTTCTTCTACGGGTGCGAGGTTATGCAAAAATGCAAGCGGGTGCGACTACGCGAGTATCAATCAGCGACAGAAATTTCCCGACCGAGATCTTCGATATTTGCAGTGCATAGCGGAACTTTCGCTACCACGTGCTCAAGGAACCCGTCCGGTTTGCGAAGCCGCAAAACCAGTTCAACACCAACATCGGGTTTCTGGAACGCGAATACCGCGACTCCGAGGCCGACAATGTGTCCATGATTGGTGCGGGTAGTTCCCAAAACTTGGTCAATATGGGCTTGATGGCAGGCGGAGCAGCAGGAGCACTACCAGTGCCGACAAATTACAACTTGTCATCCACTTCCCGCGGCAACATGAATGTAGTCGCGCGCGGCGGTACCAGAAGTGCTGGAACAAGTGGAGCTACTTCTAGTACAACTACTTCATCTGGGGCACCGAGAACAACTATCCCTGGCACAACCAGCCTGTTTCTGCAAGAACACCCATCTACTTCAAGTGCTGCAGCGAGAAACACTCCACAAGTCGACGGCTCTCCGATGGAAGTGGATGCGGCGTCGGTTGAGCCCCCGCCGATTTTTTCTGGGTCGTCCTCCTCCCGAACCACCGCGAATGGGGAACAACCACAACAAGACGCGGAAGCCAGCAGGTGCCTGAATCTTCACCAAAGTAACGGCGGGGGTCCGCAGAGCAACAGCAAGCTGGACCGCGCGCCTTCTTGGACCCTGCCCCAGGGACCACCGCCCCAGGCCGCTCAAATCGTGCAGCCTGGTGGTACTAGTCTTTTCGGTGGAGGTTCTGCAGGTGCTGCTGGCCCGACACATGGTACCAACGTGAATCTTCTAGAAGGCGGGATTTCGAGCAGCAAAGCTCCTCTTGGTCGTGGCCATGGAATGCATCTACCGCACAACAACCCAATGTCAAGCGGGAGCGAGGTCAACCATAGTGGTACCATGCCAAATAGAACGAACGTCGGCGCCACATCGTCGTATCCCCCCGCAAGCCAGAATCATCTTCAGCCGCCGTCGTTGCAGCGCGGCCGCAACGTGATGCGCACGCCGCAAGACCATATCAGTCAAACCGCTGCGCGGCAGTCGCCCTTTGGCGGGGGTCCGTTTCCCACGTCCACCTATCCGCGCGCGGGGAAGCGGTCGGCCGAGAACCTGGCCAGTCTGGCTATGGATTGCAAAAGTATCGCACTAAGGTAAATAAAATTGCATCATTAGAGCACGACAAATGAAGTTCGTTATCGTTACGACGGTGAATAATTGCCGCTGAAATCAGTTTAAGTTTTGTCATGATCGATAGATTGCAATTCCTAGCAGGAGTGCGATACAACTTTTGCACAGGATGCTGGCAGAGCAGAAACCAAACTACAGCTTCTCGGCTAAGGACCAGCAGGAATTGCGGGCGCTGGACGTGGCCCAGGTCCGGCAGCTGCAGTGGGGGGAAAAGGAGCAAACCTTGAACCTGATCCAGGAGTTTGGGCAGCCCGACTTTTTGATTGGCTCGAGCCTCTGCTACGACGAGGACTTTTCGGTCTCGTTGCTCGAAACCTTCCTGCAGCTCGCAAAGCCCGCGGTGTTTTGGGATATCCACACGAAAACCACCATCCCCATCCAATTTGTCATGCAAAACATGTATAAAATCCGTAAAATCCTGTGTTTGTCATGCATAAGATGGATGGGGGAGGTTTTTTTTTCCTGGATATGGGAGCCCGAGGAGCTATTGTTCCTGCGAAAAAAGGTGTTGCAAGACCTCGCGGCAAGTTCTCCGTCGACCAGGAATTCTAGTTCGTTTTTCCCGTCGTCGCGTGGTAGTACAAGGCGTGAGTCAACAAGTACTTCTCAAAATAAATCCTCTCCGACGACGCTGACAACGAGCTTGCTGTCCCACGCGACCCGCGATGTGCTGCTCCATGAACTCACGGAGGATGAGCTGCAGCGGCAAATCTCGGACAACCGGAAAAAGTTCGCCGCCGCCACGGCACCGCCCTTTGGAGGGGTCGTGCTTAGTAGTACGTCGGAGATCATGAGTAGCTTTCTGCCCACGATGAACGAGGTACGAGTGAACGAGGACAACTCGGATTTGAGTGGCACAACGAGGTACCTCCGGTCGGGCACGATTCTGGTGCTGGCGCTGGAGCAGAGGGATCGAGATCTGGACAACTTTTTGAAGTACGCGACCGAGTACGTGGAAGCGGGCAAGTTGGTGATGAAGTTGGTGAAAACCCTGCGCGGCACACACGCGTACGCCAGCCCGACGAAAATCTACGAGTGCTACGTGCCCATCCAGGTGACCGAAGAGCAGAGCGCCCTGGACGCGGTCGTCGGGGGCGGCAACAGGGCGGCTGCAGGTGCTGCTGGTGGAGTTACAACTCCAGTCTTTGCACCGGCGAGCTTAGCCGGGATCAACTACGGACGAGGTGCGGGGGCTAGTGGTGCAGCCACCTCCGCTAATAGCTAGTGGAGCTTGAAAATCGACAGGCGAGCCGGGAGTTCTGCAAAATAAATTTCGGTGGGTTTAGTATGTTCATGAAGCTTCTAGAAAGTTTAAGTTCATTTTCATACCGCAGCCGAAGTAGAAGTACTGACGAACTGCCAACATTACATTGATAACGATGTCCTCGATGCTTAGCATGTTGCTTCACGACCACGAGGACCGCCACCATTGAAAACCATTTCTTGCTCCGCTAAGAACTGAATTCCGACTTCTAAAATCGAGCCGAAACTACATGGTGCGCAAGTCTCCACCAAGTAGCTAGCAGAGTGACGGTGAAAGACCCTCTAACCCACATCCACAAACTACGTTCTAACTGTAGGCTGATGTACATTATACTGTAAGTGTAAATAATAAAGACGCTTTTCATCACATCATGTTCATGTTCATGGTCATGTTTTCGAGGGGAAGTGACGAGGGCGAGCACAACGTGGACCCGAAGAACGTCTGTCATGAAATATCGCAGGATGGTGTGGTGTCGTCACCACGTCCGTCTTCCCAGCATCGTTTCGCGATCTGTATACGCGCCGCCGAATCTGATTGAGATTGACAAAATTGCTTTCTGGGCCGGATGCTTCTTTCTCTTTTTTTGCTCGTACTATCTTTGTGTATCATTCAAGTTTCTTCGTAGAGTTTAGACAGGCCGTTGCGTGGTGCCGGTGCGTCTGCGTGCAGCAGCTACCTTGCACATGATCAATGCATTGCGTGGAGGTTGTTTGTTTGTGTCGTAGTTGTTCTGTTCCTGGTGTGGTATTGGCAATGGCGGACGGAGTTCCTGTGAGTGTGAGCGGCCAGAGTCCCCTACTTCAAGCTTGCCTCCCCTACCACGAGTGTATACCACCCAGTTCAAAAGCGGCGCACTGCACATATTACCACAAAACGTAACATTGCCTGTCCGAGAGTAAAGCAAAGTGCATACGTACCTACAGATATAACGTGACTGGCGCTTCACCTTCAGATTCAGCGCCCACATTTTCGTTGTGTGATGGGATCATCCACAAGAGTGCTCTGCTTGAGACAAAAAATTGATATGAGGAATGAGAATGAGCCAAAAAATGTACTAGGTCCTCGGAGTTAGAAGTAGACACCATCGACATCGCCGAAAAGAAGCCGTGCAATATCATGTCTCTCCTCCTTCCAAGAAGGAGCTTATCGCCGGTTTCTAAGGCGGGTTTTCATCAACTGCAACAAGCAGGAGACGAGGGCCACACCTCCTCTAGAACTACGAGCACGCCTCCTCCTGTATCGTCTTTGTCGCACGAAAATATGGAGGAAGTGCAAAAGGAAAAGTCTAAGTCAGTTGATCAGGAGCAAATAAGTGCGATGATCCTGCAACAGTTGCAGCAAGGTCGTCGTCCGCACGACAGCGAAAGTATTAATCCAACGATGAAATCCGACAACCCGGCCACAGCACAACTACCAGCAGCCTCCCTGCTCCCGGAAGACAGTCCGGGAAACGCCAGCACGGTAGCTACGGTGGTGTTGAACGGTTCGGACGATGTTGAAACGTCGCAAGTCGAAATCGCGCCGGACGAAGAGACAGTGATCGTGGACCATCAGGACGAATTGGACTTGTTTCAAAATTTCGAGGAAAATGTTCTGCTGACGCGAAATGGTGGTGGGAATGGGAAACAGGAGCTCCTCAACGGGCGGCCACAACTCGTGGCAGACGCAGGTGTCGTTCCGCCTCGCGGACCGATCGTCACTCCGGACAAGAATGTCGAGCGGAGGAAAGTAACCGAGGGTCTGAAGGACCAAGAGCTGCAAAGTAAAAACGCACAATGCAACAGAACCGAAGCTGGCGGAGGCGCGTTCCTCTCTAATACAACCAGTCGCAGTCCTTCCTGTGTGAGTCTAGCAGATCATGGCTGCAGCGCGTGCGAGGACGACGAGGAAAACAGCATTGACCTCGTTACCGAGGAGTGTTGTGAAGATGATGATACAAGGAACTACGATCGCGTACCAGCGACGTCGGTGAACTACGACCCAGCTTCCGGCACGATCAGCGGACTACAAGGAGGGGCAGGTGTTCTTTCGCAGAAACGTGACGTCGAGAATGAAATGATCGTGAGCAAGAAGATCATGACGAAGGAGAATGCAACTACAACCAACACCTTACTTCACTCCAACCCCAGCACGCCTTCCATCGAAGCGCCGTCCCCAATCGTCGACGAGGACGAGGAGCAAGAGCAGTTTTTTCTCGTGGCCCGCACGGATAGCGACGAACAGGAGCGACAGGACAGAAAGCGCAGGGAGCTGTTGTCCTCTTTGGCGCAGACGGGAGAAGCGCTGCACGGAAAGGTTGAAAACGATCCCTCCGCAGTTCTCCTCCAGCTGCAGCAGCAGCTTGAAAAGCGGGACGCCCGGATTGCGCGGTTGGAAGCGCAGTTTTCCATTCTCGCGAGTAGCACGGAGGCGTCGCACAATCTGCTGAACAGCTGTGATCAACTGGTACATGGAGCCACCGCTTTGTCATCTGCCTCTGCGTCTGATGTTGGCGCCGTGGATCAAACTCATCTACTAGGTCACACTGCTGCTGCTGCTGCATCAACCGGCGCAGGAGAGCTGCAAGGTCAGCAAGATAAACCAAACTCGAGCATCAAGATGATGACAAACGACACTAGTGGTCTCCCTCTCCTCAAAAAGAGTTACCAAGCGATTCTGACTTCGAGTTCTTCTCCGATAGGGAGTAATTACGCGGACAACTACTCGTGCGGTTCGGACGTCGTTTTTTCTCCGGATCTGCAGTCTGCTTTGGACAAAGTTCACATTCACGCGAGGACCAGTTTCCCGTATTGGCAAGCAGAAGGAGGACAAAGAAATCAATACGCAAGTAGAAGTATCAACTTCCGTGATTCATCCGCCCATGGCGAAACTGCTGGTGCTGAAGATGCCCTTTCTACCTCCTCCGGCCCGTCGCCTCCGTTGTCCTCTTCGCATGGGGAAGAAGTAGCAGGGCAAGGGCTTCTATTAAGCGATTGCGATCATGAAGAAGAAGTGCATAAAAAACAACAAGCTCTGTTGCAAGAACTACACAATAACAATTTACAAAGTCAGCCTGTTGTGCGCTTTGTCTCCCCTATCCAGTCTACCGCCGCCCCGCAATTTTTCAGCATCGGCACCCCCGCGGCGAAACCCTCCCTGCGACCAACGTCTTTGGTAATGAACTACAACCGTTGTAGCAGGAGCTCCTGTGGCGCCACCGGAGGTCTAACAACTTTGGTAGACGACCATCCTCCAGAGGAAAAAGTTAAAGCCACAACCTCGGTGCCACGGATAACGATGGCTGCGACGATGGGTCATCTTAATGCGACACTAGTAACTTCGAACTACTACCTCTCCACCTCTCCTGGCAGCAAAATGGTAGGAGCGAAGAACAAGGTGGTAGGAGTACCGGAGGAAGTCTTCTCTCCGGAAATCGTGGCGCGCGGGCTTCGCAGAGGGGAAGAAGAGGAGGACCTTGCAAGTGGTCTCATTGCCTGGAGCCCTGAGCGACTTGTTTGTCGTGCTGGCGCAGTCAAGAACGCAGGCTCTTCTAGTGGCCTTTTGCACGAACAACAGGGGCAGCAGCAGCCGAAGAAGGGTATTTTGAAGAAGAAAGCCATGGTGTCAGCAACAGAGGATACCACCACGGCTCGCGGTTGTACGTCTGCAAGCGCGGTTGATAAAATCGAGAAAAAGCCGTCGTTTTACGTGCTCCCAGAGGCTGTAGCGGCAGGGGGTACAAGTGAAGAAATAAAAAGCATTAGCGCGACCAGCAAGTACATGACCGAGGACCTACAGGGTGGCACGACGACATGCATGGCCATGGGAGGTCACGAACACGAGAGGAAAAATGGTGGCCCGCAGGGCAAAGCGGAGGGTGCGGTGGCATCAACTCGTACTGACGGAGGACAAAATGAAATCAGTGCGCCGATTTCGTCCAAGACCAGCAAGAACAAATCGAAAAAGCCCTCCGCGCCAGCACCGCACCCCCGTCGGCAGTCGCCTCGGTTGACAACCTCCCTTCACACCCACATGACGGCCTCGTCTGCGAACAAGTTGAAAGAGCATTTGTTTCATCAGCATGCAACTTCAACATCCGCTACACGAACGACCCGTCCTAGCGCAGCAAAAAGTACTAGAGGAGGAGCACCTCCAGCGACGTCCAAAGGGGAGCTGCATTTACAGTGGGAGCTGAACAACGTGGCGCGAAGTGTGAAAAGAACTACGTCGGCAAGCGGTAGTGTCAGGCTACGGGGCCGGAGTCCGCGAAGCCCATCACCGACGGTGCACGCCGGGGGTCCTGGCCGACAGACTTCTGCTGTGCGGCAAAGTAGTAAAACTTTGCAACAGCGCTCGGCGTCTCCGGCTGCAGTGGAGCGCTTGCACTCCAGGCAAACCGCAAGCAGCCGATTGAAGACTCGGGCCGGCGGTGCAGGCTCACCCGTTAGTGCGGGAACAACTGCAAGAGAGCATCGAAATCCTTTCAATTCGACTGCCGAGACCTCCAATAAATCGGTCTCGATGGAGTTGACAGCTACAGAGCTGAACGCCAGTATTGCAACGATTCGGGGCGGAGCTGCACCAGACAACGACGATTCGGGCCGTCACGAGCCGGCTTTGCTCGCTAGCACCGCAAAGGAGACGAGCAGGAAAAGCTCGTTGAGGAGCAATAGCAGCATTCTCGCCGGCGGATCTACTGTGTTCCACCACCCACCTGGGCGCGGAGGTAGTCCTTTCGGAGGGAAGAGTTATAGTGGCAAAAATCGAGCAGGAGGAGGACCGCGGCAGCCGAGCCCGATGCGTCATCAACGCGGTCATCTGGGAGGTCAACAGCGTTGTGTTTCTGCCGCGCGACTGTTTCAGCATCACAATCATGTTGCCCGGCCGGCGCCCACATGTTCTACTTCTTCCCGGAGCAACTCCATCGGCGGAGGCGCCATTTTCCTTACTACAACCGGCAACCGAGGCGCAGCTGTACCAGTAGCGGTAGCGTCTCCTGGGGTCGTGATGCCGTCCAGTTCTAGTACAATTGTTTCACAGCCCCGCACTGTGCTGACGACCAAGGCGGCACAGGAGGCAATCGTCGCCAGGCTGCACTCAGCGCAACGAAAGACGGAACGGGCACGGGACAGATCGCCAGTGCCATCAACCGAGCAGCAGTACAGCCTACCACGTCGATAAATATTAGCAAGCTGATTTGAACTTGCGCTCTTTTTGAAAAAAATAAAAATTCGTGTTCAATACAACCAAGGAGCGCGTATTTTTATTTTATTTTTCAGGATGACTGATATTATAATTATAGCAACTCAAGGTCTGACTTGTTGAGGACTGTGAACAAGTTACGAGGGAAAAAATTAGGATGCATGTTGTAAACAAACATCAGGCACGGTGTTTCCGAATCGAAAGCCGACCACGCGAGGAACGCCGTGGTGACGGTGAGAACAAGTCAGCAACCACCTACAGAAGTAGTTCAAGGCACCAGCGTAGTCGGGTTTGGTTCGCAGACCCTCTGCGAGTTTCTCCCGCCCTTCCGCACCGCTGTTTCGTCGGCGAGAAGCAGTGTGGTCAGCACGACTTCCGGAGCAGTGCCAGTGGTCATCCCGGGACGGGAAGTTGCAGCTAAACAGCAGCTTTATAAAAATTCCGGTGCAGCAGGAGCTGCAGAGACGGAGCAGCGGCTGTGTTCTGGGCGGTGTCCGCTCCCAGCTGCCTTGATGCCGGACAAGAACTCGACCTGCTCAACATCCGTCGCACCCGCACGATCGGAAAAACACACTTTGCTTCAGCAAGAAAGCGAGTACCATAATCAGATTCTCAACTTGGTCCCACCTTCGGACACCCAGGAGCTGATTTCTTCCCTTTTGAAGGCCAATAAGGGGAAGCAGACCTTGCTGAGTGAGAGCAACAGCAATGTCGAGCTACACAACGAAGGCACAGGAGATGGTCCTCTACCAGATGCTGGAAGCAATGCAGAGGAGAAGATCAAGAACATCAATGGAGCAGCTACTGCTACGTCTTTTTCTGCAAGAACAGTGGAGCGCCGAATTTCCGCTGCTGGTAATGTCAATGTGCAGCTCAGTCAGCAAGTCGTCCCGCTAGTGCAGCAACTGCAGCAAGAAAAGAACACTACCACAGCCATTGGCAGAATCCGGTCCTCGTCCACATCACCAGGCGCGGTGATTCGCGTGACAACCCCGACCAACCGGACCCTGCTGAACTCCAGTATGACCAGCTGCGCGAGTTTTTTCACGGCGCAACAAAGTTCTTGTGGGGTGAAAATGTCAAACAACACGACGTTTTTGACCAGCGCAATGACGCCGACAACGACGACAAAAGTGGTCCCTTTTCCGGCCTCGAGCGGAGACGAGGGACAAAAAGTTATCAATTACGACGCAGCTGTGCCTTGTTTCACCATGACCGCACCAAAACTGAGTTTACCGCTCTCCACCGGGGTGCCGAAGTTAGACTTCGTGCCGAAGTTCTCGTTTGCGCCATCAAATCAGCTGCGGAAGCAATACTCGTCTCAGGTCGGAAATAGCGGAGGGGTTGCGACGTCTGCTGGCGGACCGGTATATCTACTCAGTTTGTTGCTCTTGCTAGAGCGAGGTAACAAATGACCCGTTAACTCGCGCCCGCGAGTTAGCCGTCCGCCCGGCCGGCCAGACGGTTAACTCGCGGTTAGAAATGTAGACAAAGCGATGGTAGCACAAATTTGAATCGAAGATCGGCGAGCACTTCGGGGTAGATTTGCACCACGACAATTCGACTTGTCTACACTTCTAACCGCGAGTTAACCGTCCGGCCGGCCGGCCGGACGGCTAACTCGCGGGTGCGAGTTAACGGGTCATTTGATGTTACCTCGCTCCTATAAATATGACAATTTGATGTTGAAGCTAGTGTTCCATTTCAGCATCTTCATTCCCATGACAGTTGTATAATGCACTACTTTCCCCATCCGTATCCGTACGTGAATTATCGTCAAGTTCTGACAATTATTGAAACTACCGCAGGTGGATGATCAGCATAACGAGGACCAATCCCACGATGGCTTTCCGCGCAATCCGAGCAAAGCAAGTGACGGTACTAGCGGTACTACTAGTGCGAATATTTCCCAGCACAAGAAAAATTACGAGCAGCCCCAGGCCTGTACGCCAGACGCTCCAGCGCCGGGAATTTTCGTCTTGAACGGAGGTAAGAACTACGGAGTAGCTTCGCATCAGACCAGTTGTTCTTTCATGATCAGACGAGGAGATGAAAATGTCGCACAACATTCGCAGCATGTAGTTGCGAACTGTCCGCGGCCACTGCTGCGGAACGCAAATGGAAACCGCGTCGGACCGCATGTGCCAAGGGTGGCCGGCTGCAGAGAGTGGGATTAGAACTGACTGCGTTCGAGCAATGTAGTAAATGTTGACTTAGCTACGGCGCCAAGTGGTGCGTGAACCTAAAGAAACCGGCTGCTTAGTCGTGAACCCAGAAGTGATTTTGCAATGCATGATGCTGGTGTAATCTCCTCCTTTCTCATTCTCACACACGGAGACGGACGTCTGTATTTTAACGACACAGGGCCTGCTCCTTTTCCTGCGTTATTTTTTTTACGAATTGTGTGACAAGAGGAAACTTTGATGTAGCTAGTGCGTCCTCCACCTTCCCCCGACGTGTCGGAGGTTTCGATTAGACTACATTTAGATTTTACATTGCATGTCTTTCAAAATCTTCATCATTTCTCGTTTCTACTTCTTCAAAAGTAGTTGGATTTATTACCACCACGAAGGCAATATTCACATAAAAACATCGACAGAAGTTTCAGCATATTGACATAGTTAGGTATTGTGGTCTGTTTCTAACTTTTTTGCTCATGAAGCATGAGCTGCTAGCAAATTTACCGATTTAATATCAAAGCACAACAACAAGAAGAGTTACTTTCACATGACATAATGTATGAATTCCTGTCAACTACACGACTGCACAAAAGCAACGCTCAAAACGAATTCATCGCTTTTCCCACTGTAGATCAGGAATCTCCTCTGAAGAGTCTCGGTAGCTTCTCATTCGTCCGCGTTCACCTCTTTTTTGGCAACGCACCGAGGTTGTGCACCACGTTTGAATAAATGTGATCTCCGACCCGGTGCCAGCACTACACGACCGAAGAAAAGTGCATCATGGCATGAACGATGATGTTGATGAAGATCAAGGTTTTTCTGCCACCCCTTCTGTCTAATGCTCTTCTCGGTTTTCGAAGGTAAAAGTTCGGATCTTCTGACCTTTGAGTGTATTCATTTTCTTCTACAACAACCAGCCCATCGGATCATCTGGTGCTTTCAATTTGATCTTCCGTTTTGAAGTGCCTTTCTGTTGTTTGCCCGCATTCGTTGTGTTGGAAATTCTGATCTTCCGCATGTTGGATGTCGTGTACCGTCTATGAGTAGCCGCACAATTTGGGCTCACGACCGTGTCTTTGGCGTATTTGTGACAAGCTCCTTCTTTTCGCGGCACTTTTGTTGCTTGCTGGTTGGATCCATATACTGATGTTCAACATTTATGTGCTGCAGATCTACTTATGTCTATCTTGTTCAACATCCCCCTGACCCTGTTTCTCTTCGCTTCTAACGTGAAAGGTCAGCAAAGACTTCTGAGCGCCCGCTCCGCACGCAAAAGCATTTTTTTTTTGTAAAACTATCTAAAAATTCGCAACCATCAAAATGCGAAGAAAAAAGCCGGAGCCATTTCTTTATTCTCAGGCTGAGGCCGTCGAGGATCTTTGTGCCGATGATCCTAGCAGCACGTCGGCGGGCGCGACAAGTTGTCGCTTGCGAGTAGGCTCTCCGTCCTCCAGGCCCTCTTCACGACCAGTTGTGACGCGGCAGGAGGCGCCAGCAACTGTACCTAGGCCCTCAGAAACAGAATCAGACCTTCGTGCAGCTGACTACAGTGTCCCGATTGCTAATGCAGGAAGCCTTATTGTAGGCGGTATTCGACGACGGGGACGGCACCGACTTCATAGTAAAGTGCAAAAAGAATTCCTTGATGCTCCCGGCAGCACCGCTGGCGCCAGGAGCAATATAATCACGCCAGCACCATGCACCGCAGCAGGGCTTTCGTTCAAAACCACGACGAAAAAGAGTAGTGCGAGCCGAAAACGATATCAATCACGTTGCAGCTTTGTACAAGGTCAAGTAGATGAAGCACAGGACGAGGCGATGAGTCATCATGCTGATGGTATGTGTAGCTGTAGCACCACGAGGCACAGGAGCGGCAACACGTCTAATTCGAACATCGAACAGCCACGACAAACAAGCTATGTGCAGGTGAAGTCAGCAGTCGTAGCTCGCAAGAACACGCAGGAACGTCATCGCGGTGGAGAAAAGCAATGTCTTCCCTCGTCCACGATTGAGCGTTCATATATCATTACCTCAGAAAGAAAAGGCAAGCATATCGCAACCACCTCCAGCGAAGAAGGAGGTGCAGCAGCTACGATAGAGATAGTAGAGGACCACGTAGCCGACTCTACCAAAGCACCTACAGTTATATCCGATCTGCAGAGGCAGGCACGCGAAGATCCACGCCATCGCTCAGACATTCCTCCGAGTATTAGCTGGTGGGCATCGACGCGTTCGCTTTGCAGTAGAGGATTCGCAAAAAGCTATAAGCACCCTTCGCAACGCACAGAGCCGCATCTCCTTGAAAATGCAAAGGCCCAGGAGCAGGATCATCTTCACGCAGCTGGTTTTTGGTCCAAGAACGGCATGCAGGCTGCAATTCTGAGTTGCGGCAAGCCTTTCGCGGGCCTACTTCTACACCGAGCTTTATCTGGAAAAGGAGTCTGGTGTTCGGCGGCAAATCAACTACTTCATCTTCTTCCAAGGAGACATATTAGAAGACAGAAGGACAAGCTGCAGCTCCTGGAACATCAAGCCCCGACGTCTGGGGGAAGGCTTATTTTCGCGAAGATGGTCGTCTTGGCCCTTTGCGTCGCGATCCATGAGCTACTACCTTCGCGAACCAGACTGGAGACATTTGTACGCAGCTCGTCCTCAAGCTACTACACTCATCTTACAGGAGTAGAGCGCCCTAATCCTAAAGGTGCTGTTCACTCTGCAGCAGAGGTTCTGTCTGACACAACCTCACGACAAGCGTCGTCCTTTACAGAGCAGAGTCAATTCGATTTGGATAGCCGAGACGACTACGACTCGCCGGTTTTTTATTCCGCAAGAAGCACCCTCCCGCACAGTGCCGCGACAACGCCACCCGGGGAGGCAGAAGAACAACAGCCGGCTCGGCATCAAGTAGGCGTGGGCCACACTACACCAGGTGATTTTGGATGCCGCGAAAGTAGAACCCAAGGACAAGGAGTATCTACTTCCGCCCGATCAGCTGCGACGAGTATTAGGCCGCCCGTCGGTGCTGTTGCGGAAGGACATGAAAAGATTTTTTTCCAAGAAAACTCATGCCCAGGACAACGACAAGGAGTTCCAACAGGAGAAAGGTCTGCCGCGTCCTACTCTCGCGTCGGGCGAAGGCCTGACGCTGATCGCCGCACTTCGCTGCACGACGTCCCAGAAACCGCCGTTCTGGATGTGGATGCAGATGGGGAAGAAGTTGTGGCTACAACAACCACGACACGAAATAATCAGGTGTCTCCTCCACTTTCCGCTCCTACCCCGATCAGTAGAGCGCCTACGTCGCAGCAGAATCACCAGCTATTCGGCTCTTTCATTATCGGAGCTGCCGCTGCTCCTGCGGCGCCAAGTGTGGAAGTTGTGACCGGGCTAGTACCAGAACACGACCACGTTTCCGACCACGGGGCGAGTCTAGAAGTAGATGAACCACAGATGGTACAGGACGACATCACTGCTGATCAGTCAGCGGGGGAGCCTGTAACATCCACAACATCAGGTAGATCATCTGAAGATGAACAAATTAACCAGTACCTGGATCATGAAGAGCAATTGATGGCGGAGAACGTGGTTGACGCAGCGCAGCCCAATGCAGTAGACAACTTGGATATTGGACAAGAGCACCTGCACCCCTTGGACCGGCTCATTCCGCGGTTCCACGGGTCGGACATTGAGGACCAGCAGGCGATCGCCGGCGGCATTGACGCGAAAAACGCCCGCACGAAGGGGGAGCAATGCGATGTGCCGCTCGAAATTTTCCTCGACTACGCCAGCCCGCCACGAACGCCGGACGTGTGCACGGTGCGGTTTATCGGGTCCGAAGAGCTGGCGAAGCAGGGGGAGACGCCGGGATTCGACTTCTACTTCACCGACTCGCTCCACAAAGTCCCGTATTTGGGCCGGAGGGATAACTGGTTTTTCCTGGAAAGGGTAGGGGAATGAAACTAATGAAAAGTGGGCTCCATACAGAGCTGCAGTTGGAGCTGCTAGTAGTACCTGGGGGATCACGCGGTGCCACATCACCAGGAGGCACCATAAGGCTTCAGATTTGCCTATGAAGATTCTAGGCTCGGTAAGAACATGCCATTCTATCGTCCACTTGTAGAGTACGAGTAGAGCTGTATTGCACCGTTTTCATCGAAAATATCTTGACTTCACATCATTCCCCCAGGTAGTTGATGATCCAGCTGCATGATTTTTCTTGGATATCTTTTCGAGCAGGACTATTGGCCTCTGAAAGAACTGGTCGAAGTCGACATGGATGAGCTTATGCGGAATAAGGTTAGAGTTTTCATTTAAGTACTACTTCTACTTTCTTTATTGTTCATGCACGACAAATCAGTTGTGTGATGCGCGATCTACATCTACTCATTCATCTCGATCACAATTGAAAAACGACCTTCTGACAGACGCGCATGATTTCCATGCTGGCTCCCAAGCGCGCGGAGACCGACCCCGATTCCCTCAGTTACCAGTTTCGGGTCCTGCTGCAGCAGGCGCTGCGCATTTTCCCGGACCACGTTTTTTACGACGACAAAACCGACGAAACCTACAAGAAGTCGATGGATCCGTACCGCTTCTGCATGATTTTGGACGACGAGCTCCCGCGGGTTTCCATGGCCTACCTGCGCGCGCTGCGGCACCATTGCGTGCCGATCTTCAATGGGTTCTCCGACTTTGGCGGCATGTTCTACGACGCGGTGATGCCGTTCGAGGATTTGCTGAATCTGCCCGCATTTTTGGAAAATCTGAACGATTTGGACCACCAGATCGGCGCTTTGTGGAGCTACCAGCGCACACTGCAGGACATGCTGTACTACCGCTACCGGGTCGGGTTTTTGCCGACGCTGAGGCAGTACGCGTGCACGATTTGCCGGATGCACAGGATACGGAAGGAAACCCGGAGGGACGCGCCTCTGGTAATATTGTACTACCACTTCTATATGTGGAAGGCAGTTCATGTTTTTTACTTGTAAAAACTAGGTCAGCATCACAATAAAGTGGAAGGATCCCGATCTTGCACCGGCCAGCATTGTTTCATCTGGCATAGATCATCTGACTTCGCGCTCGATTTCCACCAACACAGGTGTTCGTTGGCGTCTACTCAGCGTTGAAAAATGTCCAAAAGCGGGACGTTTTACGCCGCACTTGGCTGCGGGTCTTGAAAAAATTTGGAATCCGCTACAAATTCTTCCTGAATGCGGACAACGCGGTGGTCCGTGCGGAAAACGACCAACACGACGACATGATCTTCCTCGGCGTTTCGGAGGGATACCGCCTAAACAGCCGCAAGGGGTTGTTATTCCACAACTGGATCGCGGCGCACAGCAACGCCCTGTATCTGCTCAAAATCGACGACGACATCTACTTTCGACCGGCGCCGTTCCTGGAGCAGCTCCGCTTCAAGTCGCCCTTCATGTATAGACAATTGGGATTGATGACGATATTGCTAATTCCACTTTGTTACGTGGCGCGCTACAAAATTCACCATTCTAATGAACCAATGTTGTGTTTTCTCTTTCAGTATCGCGATAGAAATAAAATTTGTAACTTTCGCGGATTTCGTCCAGCAATAAAAATGAAATTTTGAAATTTCGCGGATCAGATTCCGATTGTGGGCATTTGGCTCAGCGTCCTCGTGGTTATATTCGTAAGAGTTGTCAAATGTGGTGACCAGTCAGACGCTAGATGACTTGTTGCTCCAAGTTTGACGAAAATAAAAATAAAATTTTGAAATTTCGCGGATTGCATCCATGGAGGAGAAAGAGACAGCCGCATGACGATGCAAGTGGATTTTTTACTACATCAACGTACAACAGGAGGCGCAAAGATCACGATCAATTTCCTGCATGAAACCTGTTCAGGTACATCTGGGGCTATTTCGACTACATTTCCCCCGTTCCCCGGGATCCAGCTGACCACTTTTTCAACCCCCGGGAGATCTACCCCTACGACATGTTTCCGCCCTACCCGCGCGGTGTGGTGCGGATCGTCAGCATGGACGTGATTCGGCGGTTCGCGGAACTAGACCGCGAAGGCAAACTGCGGACGATCTTTGGGGACGACCCGAACATGGGCGTGCACATGCGGCACATTGTTTTCGATCCGGATGAGCCCATGTCGCTGAACTTGGACGTATGAAAGCCTCAGGTTGGAAATCCTCAAAGTGAAAATAATTTGTAATGCAAAAAAACGACTCCAGTTAAGGTGCCGCTTCTAGTCGGCGCATGACAAATTTCCCGGGCACTCAAAACGTGTCTGTCATGCTAGTTAGGCAAAGGGGGGCCCTTCTCTCATGCTACTCAGCAGCCCAACTCTGAACCCGTAGAAGCACAATAGTCGGCCTCCATTGCGTTCTCTGCAATGCAGTCTTTTTGGTGTGGCATTTCATGCATCACAAATTATTTCCACGTTGAGGATTTCCATTCTGAGGGTGTCATAGGACGATATCGACAGCTACAAAGTGTTCGCGATGAACCCCGAGTGCATATCAAATGTAAAAATGTCTGGGTCTGGAAGAATGCAACTTGTGATGCTGAATTTGGATTCCAAAAAAATCTGTATTGCATAAGCAGCAAAGGGAGTGTAATTTTTGCTACGCGGAGAGGGCATTTGTCATGCGGAATAGGCATCGCGAGACCCTCAAAAACTCTGTGATGCTAGGGCATGCATCACAGACGTCAGGAGTCATGCAAAACGTGCATGACAAACCTGGCAATCTTCCAGACCCAGACATTTTTACATTTGATAGTGCAAGATCCTGAACAATACGGAGCCTGAAATCGACTACGAAAACCCGGGGAACACGAAGAAGGTAGAGATTAGATTTAGAATACAAAATTGTTGTATCCTTGCATGACAAACTGAAACTTCTTTATCTTTTGCTCGTGGTGTGTTTAGCCCGGAAAGGTGTAGTAAGTAATTAGCTCATCTTGTGTCCTCTTCGTCCTCGGTTTCTACAACTAGAGAGGTGCAGCAGAAGAGTCTCGGTCTCGCTCCGCAAATCACACAACAACGACCTTCACGTCGTTCTTGTGGAACAATGAATACACACTTCCTACACAGGTGAAGCAGTGGAGCCCGATGACGAACCGTTCGTGGGTGTTTCACCACGTAAACCACGAGCAGATCGAGTGCATGTGGAACACGGACATTGCGACCGGGTACTACGATGAAGTAGAACTCTTTCCCAAGCGCCTCATCCGCGAAGGCTTTCCCAACGTTTGTCCCTGCATCCATAATTACGGGTCGTGGGAAACGAGGAGACAGGAGTTGGAAGCCTGGGAAGAGGAGCGAAGGAGAAATCCAATCATGATTGATGTGGACCCAGATTTCGAAAAGGACCCGGAAGAGCGAGCGCATCCAATGGGGTGAAGATGAAAGGAGGATTTTTGAAAAATACCGGATGTTGACCAGACACCGACGCGTAGTAGGACGACGGTCGTCGTTATCAGGTTCTGCTTTCTGAATGAAGATGGATGTCACGATCTCCAGTACCTTCTTGACAGCAAGTGCAGCTATTGCTATGAAAATGACTACAGTCAGCGTATATATAAAGTGAAAGTGAGCAGAAAACTGTGATGGATTCTTCAGTTGAGAGAAAGTGCACTGCAGTTTCAGAAGCGCTGACAGAAGTTCCTGAAGTTGGATGGACGAACAGAGATTCCTGTATAGTCGTAGCTTTTATTTTCTTGAGATTGAACACTGTTTTTCTTGGACACTTGGCCCCTGTCTGGTCCGGTTTCGACGAGTCATCTTCTCGTCTCAGGAGCCTCGTCTGTTCTTCTAAATAATGGTAAACTCCTGCTGTTTGTGTTTTCGAATTCGATGATTGTTTTTCCTGCGGCCTTTTTTTCCGCAAGACCGCGTTGGTGTTTACTTTTCTGAAGAGATTGACAAGGAGCAAACGAACCCTGAATGCATAGTCGTTGTCTTCACTGGTGCTAACGTATCGACGAACATTACCTCTGTCAGTAACATGCTACGCTCGCTCTAGTATGTGTGTACTCTTAGTTGTGAAACTAAATTCGACTCCACAACTTTTCGTACCGTCCAGTGAAAAAATCCTCAACATCAAATTATGGTTTCCGACGGCGCCGCCCTAGTTTCTGCAAAGACGCCTGTTGTTGCCGTAGAGCATCAAGTCCACATGGTATCAACATGCGACCACCAGGCCGCTACAACAACTGTAGCGTCCGGGAACTGCGCCGGCACAGAAATTTGTGAAGATGCGACGTGCGGAGCGCGAGCGGGACCGGGAGTACTTTTTCTCACTCCAAGCACGCTCGCAGAGGCAGAGAAGTCTTTGGAGCAAGCGCTGCGCCATGTAGAAGTTTCAAAGCGGGGAGGGATAGAATCAGAAGTATCGACGAGCAGAACTGCCGATTGTCGCACCACTGCACAAAACGTCCCGAGGATTTCCCTGTCGATGATCGTGCAAAACGAACAACAGAATCAGGATGCTGGCGGCGTTAAGGCCGAAAACAACACGACCAGTACTGAAATCCTCTTCGCACAACATGAAGTAAAAAAGAAGCGGAAGCAGTTTGCTCTGGATCCGGACTTGCAGCAGCTGTGCTTTGTCAAGGACTTCCAGCGCTTTCCCATTTACGCTGATTATTTGAAAGATTTTCATTTCCATTTTGACGCACCGGAATTCGAATTGCAGCACAACATCAGTGAAGATGCAGAAGGAGAACATCAACTACAACTCCCGACCATTACAGATTGCAAAAATCTGGTCAATGGTGTTGTCTTCGCAGATCAGGAAGGAAATACACATCGGCAAAAATACGACGAAGCAACAGAAGAGGTACTAGTTGTTCCTGATGAGAACCAGCATCAAAATGCGGAAGATATAATCAACTCGACGAAAAAAAACAAGAACACCCCGCTCATCGAGTATAAAACTAAAACGTGGAAAGTCAGCATCACAGAGGACATTACCAGCTCCGGCGTGCCGATTGAAAAAATCGGTCGGGTACTCCCGTATGACCTGCTCAAACGTTACAATCTCAAACGTTACAATAGAATCTGGAATTTGTGTTGCAAGAAGTGCATGATCTACCCTACTCCCACAGGATTGCGCATGACAAGTTCTGGAGTCCCAATCCGCACTACAATCTGGCGAAATTTGTATTGCAAAAAGTGGAACGCTGTCCGAGTCTGTCATGTTAGTCATGCAAGACAAATCTCAGATTCTATTGTAACGTTTGAGATTGTAACACCTGAGCAGGTTATATCCCGGAAGTCCAGTTTCTGATGGAAAAAGTCGGGGTCAAGGATTTCGCGGGGCAGAATTACTGCTTCTCCTACGTCGAACAATTGTTGGAGTTTCTAGAAGTGGAGGACCAGTTTGCCTTCACGGAATTCGTGCAGAAGATCTCGTTCTTGTAGATTTTGCCAGGAACTGGAAATTATTCTTACTGGTGATGTTGAAGATGATGAATTCTGAAGTAGATCTAGAAGATGTAGATTGCAACGCAAAACTACAAAAGGAAATTTTTACGTATTCTTATTCGAGGGAACCGGAACGAAGATCGATGTCGTGTCGTACCTGCGCCGCCAACCAAAAAATAAGGCAGCAGCTATTGCCGATTGGACGACGAGGGAGGCGCTACAATTTTTATTTCTTCAAGATCTCACAGAGAGGAGTAGAGTGAAAGTAACACGCATGACACACTCAAAAATGCTGCAGGCGAGCGAATCTACAAAATTTGGCGCTGGTCCTGGTGCCTTACGGCGTCTTTTCAGGAGCGTGAGGGCAGTCGAGTGGTCGTGTTTGTTTGTTGTTTCTGTGTGTCTTAAATCATGTTGAGTTGGACGACGACAACAACTTGATGGTTGTTTGTGCACTAACGCGCGCACGGGCACCCGCGGGAGACGAAAATCCTACCTAAACCTGTATGACCAACAAGCTTCGAGCATCAGCGGTACTAGAGCAATATCTCTAGCACGCGCCGTATGCGTATCGCATTCTATCGAAAAACTTAAACTTCCGACTTTGTTCATCAGTTGCAATAACAATAAGCCACAATCTCCGCCTCCGGGGCGAACAAATACAAAATGCCTCCTCCACCCCTACCTGCACGGGAACACCAGCAGTTTCAACTGTTGAGCCATGTCTCTCCGTCTGTCGTGGCGGACGCCAGTGGGGTCCCCGTCCGCGTGCAACAGCTTTCCACCATTCTGGAGGACGAAGAAGCTACAACCTGCTCGAACACGGCAAATAACTCATCTTCCAGCAGTACACTCACAGCGAACGCGAACAAAAGCCCACCGCTGGACAAGTTCCAGGCAGCGGTGAAGGCGGGCACGGTGGATCAGTTATTAGAACACACCGACGCTGCCGGGCTGGAGCGACTGGTGGAGGAGGTCGTGGCGGAAAGGAGAGCCAAAAGCTCGGTAACGGACTTTCTGAACTCGATTCTCCGTGAAGTGACAAGGAGGAGCTCGTCGTCACCTCCGTTGGGGGAGCAGGAGGACGAAGCTGAGTGTTTTTTACCTGGCAACTATCTAGTACAACACCAAGATCCGTGGCCCACACCGCATGTTGAAAGCCACCACACTGATCAACATGCGTCTAACAACTATCAATATCATCTGCAACTCTCCCCGGATATTGTCGACCCGTCATTGCTGATTCACGATTCGCTCCAGCTCTCGGCCAGTTTTCGGGGAGACGAAGCTTTTGGTTCTTGGGCGGAACAACAGCAGTCAGAGGGGGAACTTGTTGGTACACGTACATCATCGACGACAGACGCGAAAAAGAATCAACATCGTGCGCCGACGGATGATAGCGATTTCTACGCGCCATCAAGCACGAGAGCAGTAGATGTAAACCAACTCGCTGTCGAAGCGACCGTCTCCTCTGTCCTTGAAACCGCGGCGCAGCAGGCTCTGATGCAGCTTGGCGAGGACCACAGTTTGCCCGTCATGCTTCCACGAAGTACCCCGGGGTCCTCCCCTGATGATGATGATCGACTACAGGTAGCAGGAGCACTTCGCCTTGGACAAAATTTTCATACCAAAACGAACTCGTCGGCGTCGAACAGCGCTTCCCTCGACGACGATATCAGTGCTGCTGAGGAGCTAGTAAACCAGCAGGACCACGACGACGACACTATTGCTACGCCGAAGCAATTGATCGAGAAGAACCCCCGGCGGAGGTCGCTGCATATTGACGAAGTGGAGGAGCAGATCCGCAGGAGCTCGGGACGGGAGTTGACGCCGGGTGTTGCGGATGCCGAGGATGCGCAGACCGACCAGCAGAATTTTCAGATTTCTCCTAACTTGAATGACGCACACCAACACGATTTTCTTGTCAACGATGAAGAAGACGATGATGATTTGTCCACGTCGCTACCCGAAGCGGTCATCTTTGCGCCGCCAAGCAGGAGCTGTGTTGTACCACCGCCGCCATTGCCACCGGTTCTTGCAACGAGTGCTCCACAACATGTGACGAGTTACGAGTTAGATCAAACCTGCTCTCAAGAAAGAACAGCTTGTGGGCCCACCAGTAGTGCGTCTGCAGCTCAGCCGGCGTGTAATGTTGCCGTTGTTCTTTCACAACCTAATTCGGCGTCTAGTGCAGCAGGAGGGAGTCGGTCCCGGGGGGACTCGCGGGTAGAGATTGTGGTCATGGGCGAGCCGCCGTCCATGCCGGTGACGCAAACGAGCTCGCCGGAACTGAATAACGAGGTAGAGGATGTTGAAAGTACCTTTCATTCCGCCCTTGCTCCTGTTTCTGCACCGGGTGCGCCGGCAACAGCAATTTTATCGGATAGGCCGCCTCATCATCAAGGAGCCCTGTCTCCATCTCGAGACCACCACGGGGAATATGTTGGTTCTACACAGCTCCTGCAACGTGGTCACGTTCACGACAAAGCCAATGGAGGATCTCCTGCTCCTCTAAATGATCACGACTTCGTCGAGGTCCTCGACGTGGTCCCACCATCTTCTACACCCTCTCTCGCTGAGAAGGCGGGCGCTCGGTTGCAGCAGGAGGGTGGACGAGGTCTATCGACGGGTAGTACAGTGTCCTCCCGCTTCGAGCGGGTTCTCGCCGAGCAGGAACAGATCGAACTCCGGCGCAGATTATCAAATGTAAAAGTGTCTGGGTCTGGAAGATTGCAACTTGTCATGCAAAATCTGAAGCATGCAAAAATCTGTGTTGCATGATTACCAAAAGTCGTCCACTTTTCACCAAGTCGGGAGGGAGTTTCTCATGCAGGATAGGCATGAGAGAGATCGCACAGAATCTGTCATGCTAGGTCCTGCATTCCAGACCTCGTGGGTCATGGACAAGCAGCATGACAAGTCGCGCATTCTTCCAGACCCAGACATCACTTTTGCACTTGATACAGATTTCACACACGAGCGAGGACCAGGGGCACCATCACAGGCGCGACAGCGTCCGTCTTGATGCAGCAACAGCAGCAGCAGCCGTCGGTTGGCAGTGCTGGCGCAGCGGCTCCACGCCCGTCTAGTGGCACTCTTCTAAATGGCGGAACCGCCCCCGCTCGTACTAAAACATCGTCGCCGGGAACTACCTTTGCAGGTATACTAGCCGCGAATGGAACGCAGCTTTCTTTACAACAAGACTTCAAAGCCGAAAACTACACTTCCCATCTTCAGCACGAACAAGTAGAAGTCGCTGATCTGACGTGGTCCAAGAAGCATTTTTCAAATCTGTACCGCACGCGGGTGTTGAAGAAGGAAGGAGTGAAAGGAGCTAGTACAGCAGCAGCTGCCAGTGAAGATGGGGCGGGTCGTGCTGGTGTGGAAGCTGGTGCAACAGCAGGCTTGAAAAGATCTTCGTCCAGCAGCAGCAAGACGTCGGCGTCGAAGAGCTGCCCCTCGGTCAAGCACTTCTTCAAAAAAGAAAAAGATCATCAGCGTGGACCAGCAACAACTCCTGCGTCCACGTCATCACCAGGAGGGAATTTTACTGTCGGTGTGCCTGCAGGAGGAAAACGAAAAGAGCATTTGACAACATCAGCATCACATCAACCCGGAGTTCATCCTCCGTCCCGAAAAAATTCCAACCCGTACTTGCTCCGAAAAGACAGCAGTATAGTGGAAGAGTACACCTCGCTTATTGGGAAGAAAGCAGAGGCCGAAAGCATCAAGAAACTTGGAAGTCGAATGGGCAGAAAAACATCAAATCCAAAAGTAAAAGAGTCGAGTTTGAGTTGTACTACACCGGCGGGAGAAAGTCACAACAAGAATTTCGCTGCTGCTGATGACGGTGTCGGCGGAGCAGTGAACGTCAAGAAAAACGACCTGCAATCTTCCGCAGCGACCACATACACGAGCACCGCAACTTCGCCTCATGCTGTTGACCCCGGTACGACGGAGCAGTTTGAACTACAACTACCGAAGAAATTCCGCGACGTCATCCAAAATCTGCAGGAAGAGCTTAAACTCCGCGACACGCGGATCGCGGACCAAGACGCCGTGATCTCTGCGCTGCAGGAAGAAGTAGGGTTTCTGCGGAGCAGTAGACAAATCTTTGTTAGTAACGCCACAGCAGAACGGGAAATCAGAATGGGGGCTGATCATCAACTACATGCTGAGCAGGAGGTGGAAGCTACAAATTCTGGCGTCAGTAAACACGTCTTGCCGCCCGAGAACATCTCTCGAGAAAGCCCACCAGCTACAGAAGCACAGCAGCAAGGAAAGGATAGGGAGGCAGCGATTGCCAGTTCTCCGCCACCGTCCCAGCACCAGCAGTCGCCGGAAGGAGCGATAGATGCTTCTACGACCTCACGCGCTCTGTCACGACAAAGTAGCGGCAAGCGACTGGTCTCTTCCCCCTACAGCGGTCGGGATTTACTGTCCGAGGCGAAATTGGTATTGCAGCCGGGCGGGCAGCACAACAGGAACAGTGATCATGCGACGTTGTCCGATGATGCAGGTATTTCCTCTGCAGCTGGAGTGGCCGAGGATCTGGATGTTTCCGGAGTCAGGAAAGATGAACGTACTGCGGGAACAGCTGGTACGCCGCAGGAAGAGTGTGCAGAAGTAGCAGCAGAAGGAGTTGTTGTAGAGAAAAATAACTACGACGAGCAGGCAATCGCCCGCCTTGCCCACGAACGCGTCCAGAAAGTGATCGAACGCGCGGACTGGCACACGCGGCAGCAGCGGCAGATCGAAATGCGATCGCCGAAAAACCTGCAGCTGCACAAAAAAGACAAAAACAAAATATCGTTTCCAACTGCTGGAGAAAAGTCGCAGTCCGCAGCAGATACTGCAGCTCGACTCGATATTACCCAGGGCGGGGCTACTTGTAGCACTACTTCTTGTGCAAAACTTCGCGTGATAAGCCTGATGAGTCCCCCGACGCCGAACTCTATTTTTGGTGCGGCTGCAGCCCCGCCAGGAGACCGATTGCTCGCGAAAGCCGCGGTTGGAACGCCCGCAGTTGATGTTGTCGGGGCTGAATCTTCAGTGTCGTTTCTGACGAAAAGTAGAGCTGACCATGCTGCTATTGGCGCGCCAGAGCCAAACCCAAAAAAGACGAAGAACGCCTGCAGCGTCGATAAAAGTACTGCTGTAGCGAACATGAACTGCAATCCCGCAGCTACTGGTAAAGGCTCTAATGGTAATGGTACGGGACCACGACCAGCAGGTACGCGACCTGCGGCTGTAACGTCTTCAATAACGTCAGCCAAGTCCGGTACTGCAGCAGCTGCTTTCAGCGATCCAAGGAGCGTCATGAGGGACTTCCACCAGAAAAAAGCGAAGTCCTCAACCGCAGCACCAACTACCGCGGGAATGGAAAGTGGAGGGAGAAAAACAGGCAAGAAGCGGGAGCCACCCGCGGGCTACGCTGCTTACTTGCGCAATTTCGCAAAAAAACTTGCCAAGGAGGGGCATAGTGTTTTCTAGTCTTGTGCGGAGCGCCGGCTGTTTTTGAAAAAAATAACCAATTGCACTATCTACTTCGTGCGTCAGGCTCAGGTTAGTCCACATGCCATGTGATAAAGCACGCCACTGACGGTTTTTTGAAGCAAGGGAAACGTCATCTACCGAAGTTGTATGTGTATCTGCGCTTTTTTTCCTGCAGAGATCGCCGCCAGAAGATATTCAGTTGATTTCGAGATTCTCCGGTTTCATCTTCTATTGCAGCCTCTTGCTGTTCAACGACGTTTCTATCTTCCCCCCGGGCGACACCGCACAACATTTGTTCCATTCTGTCCATTTACTCGGTCCCGGAGATCATCATCATGATCCCCGACTGTAGTTGTGAACAAGAATTTATTTTTTCAATGCAGGTCAACAGAACTAATACTGAAGAAAAGGATGGAGATCACTCAACTGCTCGGTCAACAGATCCAAGATGAAGATCTAGATCATCTCTCTTGCGCATTTCTTCATCATCTCACAGATACCGAGCTACTCTGTTGTTCACCCCGTACATGATTTTATTCGATTTATAGGTATTTGAACTTTGTTTTTGTTATAGCCTGCTCAGCTGTTACAATCTCAACTGTTACAATAGAATTTCACTTTTTTCATGAAAAAAATAGCTATTTAAAAACTAAATAAAAAATTAATTAATTCTTAATGAAAAATTTGTAAATTTCGAAATTTTTCGTCTCCGCCGAAACTGTCGATTTGGCCGTCTGCGACGACTGGAGCCGCCGCGATTATGATAGGAAAACTTGCTTCCAACCTCACCAAAAGTCAACATGACAATATGAAAATGCATGACCAAGACCATCTGCGATATATCGCAGATGGTCTACGAAAGAATATGAAGAGTGGTTGACTTTTGATGGTGTGGGAGGCAAGTTTCATTTGCCAATACTATTGAAGAACCGGCTGCTGACCAGGCTGTTTCCTCGTGGCTGCGTCTAGGAACGGCACCCAAACCCCATAGGATTCCGATGATGTCACTTTGGTCGTTTTGTCCGGCTCTTTTGCGGAGCCCCAAGATAAAAGTGCTTTAAACCCTAACTCGCATCTTTGAAGGGTGTGCTGGTGCTATGAATGAAAAAAATTGTAGGATGTAGTGGCGCTGGTGCGGAATGAAAAAACTTGTAGGCTGTGTTGGTGCTAGTTGATGATAGTACTACTCCTGATATTGAAAAAGATGCAAAGTAAAAACATCGGGTAGATCAGCATGTAGCTGAGGCTCTGGAGGGTTGTTTGCGTTGTTGTAGTGTAATCGTGTTCATTTAAAAACAAACGCTTTCGTCACCGAATACAAACAAGCAACTACAACTACATCATCGCAAAAGCTCTTGCTCATTTTGTAATCGAAAGTGTCAAACAGCTCTCACGACCTCCTCGCAGCTATGATCGATGACGATTGAACGTCTTCGCTGGTTGTTGCATTGTTACACTTTTTGAACGAGATGGCAAAAGGTGCGAGCGAGATGATGACGAGAACGAGGACGCACTCTTGATGTCGTGGGACGTATTTTTTTCTTGAGATTTATTATACCGAGCCAACGCGTTTTGTGGTATCATGGCTACGATCACACTTGATGAAGAAAAGCTGCTATTTTTGTATTAGAATATCAACACATCCTCCTGCCCCATTAATTATCAAAAAATTTGAAAGCGCGCCACTACTTCGAAATCATCTTGCCCGCACTTAAAGCGCCACCCTATTTGTAGGAGTTGGCTGTTATGGTTTTTATTCCAGCTTTTGAACACGTCTTGGTCAACTACAGTGCGTCGGTTTTTTTCTTTGATTGAAATGAAGCTTCATCTCCTGCTAGTACAAGTAGCACCATGCGACATTGTCTCCGTCATCTCGTGTTTGTTTCATCTTTCGTTGTCAATGCTCAACTCAATCAAAAACCGTAGCAGCTGTTGAGAGAGACCCTCGAGGCAAAAAAACTTTCCAAAACTACCCACGTGTTGCTCCGTGCATCAAAAGCACAAAGATGGCGAATCGCAATAACAACCCGCTGATGTTGTTAGGCAAGTCTGCCAAAAACACCGGCAACAACGGCTGGAAGAAAAGCCTGAAGCACTTCACCCAGGCCGAGGGTGAGAATTTGGTCAAAGTCATCCAGACCAACGTCATCGACTTGAGCAAAGCCGTCAACGGTGGCTGGACCCTGTTGGACAACCTGCCGAACAAGAAGCTGACCAAGGAAGGCGGCGCCGACCGTACAAATTTTTTTTATTAATAGCTACATTGTTATCTTTGGTTTTTGTTGATAATGAATAGTAGGTGGAGGTAGTTCAGTGAATAGTACTTGTTGCATCAACATGCTTTGCATCATCACAGCGTCATCATTTTTCTTGAGAACGCATGTTACTTACGAACAAAAATTGATTTCAATTTTATTCAATATCAACACCACAGAACTGGGCGACATTGCGTACAACACCCAGATCCAGATCCTCGCCACTGGTTCCGAGCAGTCCGCGCAGGATGTGGCCAACGCGTTGCCCACCGAAAGCCACTGCCTGTTGGCCTGGCGCGCGATGGGCGTCGACATCTTCGGGGTACTTTTTTTTTCTTGATCATGATGCAGCTGTGACGTAGTTGTGTATTTCGTTCTGCGTGTGAATGTTGGTTCTATCAGCATGAGTAGTACTACAAGTACTGGCTCACCCAGCTGGTGCTGCTGGTGCTCTTGTTGCATGCAAAATTTTTTTAAATCTCGTCCTCCATGACCACTACTTGTACTATTGCGTCATCACTTCATCTTACATGTCCGTGCGCTTCAATCTTTAGATTTTTTTCATGACCAAAATTTGAATTTGTAATTGAACATTATAAAAACACATCATCCAGCCGCCGCCGAAGGATCAGATCCTCGACAACTACAACGCGCAGTACACCTGCAAGCACTTCATCCAGTCCATCAACAAGCCGGCGTGGCGCGCGGCCATCAATAACGTGGGTGCGATGAAACTGGTGGACCAGGCGAAGGCGGCTGCCGAATTGGACTACAAGAACGCCGCCGAGCGTAAGGCCGAGGGTACGAAAAAGCGCACCCGCTACCAACTGAAGGACAAGGTGGTCAAAGAATTGGGCCAGGAGTACTACGATCGCATGTTGGAGGATGACAAGCGGGCGGAGAACAACGGTAACATTTTCAAGAGCCTGACCGGCCATCAGATGGCGCTGCAGGACCGCCCGTGGCAACAGCAGCTGGCGTTGACCAACGGTTCCCACATGCCCAGCGCCTCGAGCCAGTTGATGCTGGCGAACGGCCACGCGAACCACCAGCAGACGCACCACCAGCTGACCAACACTCCGCTTCCGCATGCCCTGGACATGCCGCAGCAGATGTTCAACCCGGTCAACAACCTGCACGGCATGGCTGGCATGTACAACAAGCAGGCCGGTAACATGTACTTGAACGAAGGAGCGTACAACGCGCAGGACATGATGATGAACAACCGGCAGCAGTACCCCGCGTTCGATCCCAACATGTTGCCGTCGCGCCCTGGCGGTCTCGGCAGCGGCCAGAACGCGATGCTGGCGATGCAGAACATGCACATGTCCCAGCAGACCGGCGGTTCCCAGATGGTCAACACCCAGATGGTCAACTCCCAGATCAATTCCCAGATGAACGGCTCCAAGTCCACCTCTGCCACCGGTCCGTATGGATCCAAGAGCACCCTTGTTGGAGGTGGTGCCAACGCGGGGAAGAAGAAGCCGACGAAGAGCCTGAAGGGACAGACCGGCTTGACCGATGAGCCGTTCAACTTCACCACCTACCAGGATGACGAGGCGCAGGTCGTGGACACCGCGTGCGCCGGATCGCAGGCCCAGGAGTTTGCCATGCAGCAGATGATGATGGGTTTGAAGGGTGGCGCCAAGAAGACCGGTGGAAACGGTGCTTCGTCCTCCTCGAGTTCCGCTTTCGTGAACAAGGGTAAGGGCAAGGGGAAGAAGCTGGCCCCGACGCCGAAGGGTCCGCTCGACGGGTTCGTGGGCGAGGACGACGACTTTAACATGGATGGTTTCGAGGGCGAGGAGGATGGTTCGGAGGAGGACGACGAATCGGACGAGACGGAGGAGCAGAACGGTAAGAAGCAGCCGATGAAGAAAGCTATGAAGAAGATGATGGCGATGAAGAAGGACGCCTCCACCTCCGCGTCCAACAAGAATTCCGGGAAGCCGGCGAAGGCGACGAAGAAGGGTGTGGACAAGTGCGCCGAGTTGCAGAAGCTGCTCGCCAAGGGCACCGCGAAGTCCACCGTCGTCAAGAACGGCAAGAACGGCAAGAACGGCAAGAACAAGTAAATCCACACCTTCGGTGCCTTCATTGTGTTGATTGATGATTTACACTGCGATGGAAAAGCTTAGAGTACTAAAAAACTACAACGTCGCTCGCTTTTTCTACATACTCGACGTAATTCTACTTCGAAACGGAAATATAAGTAGTATAAAACGAAATAGTAAAGCTGTGTCGTCGACTAGTAGTAGTGCGTCGCGCTTCGATTGTCAGACTTATCAATAACGGCACGAGGAGGCTATATTGATACTACTAGTTTGATAAATTTCTGCAGCTACTAGTAGCCAGCATCGCGTTTATAATTTTCCTACTAATAAAACTTACGACTACAACATCTCCAGGTCCTGTCCATCGTGCAAGAAGCTTGACTGCAAAAACTTCCTGCGCTCCGATTTAGTCAAGCAAGCCATCGACGCCTCCTCCGTCTACCGCAACTACATCTTCTCCAATGGTTTGGCGATGAATTTCAAAATGTGAGGAGCATGAAGATGTTGTATGCGCGATGACAATATCACTTATTAAGAAAAACAACTTCTACTATGACTACTAAGACACCACCACTGAAGTGCAGCTGTTTAAAAATATCACTTCGCTCATTTTCGGAAGTAGTTGTTGAGAAATAAAATGAAAAATGAAAATTATTTCAATCGTGAGAAGATGAAGAGAAGTATAATGTTGGTAGAAGTATTTGCGATTGTAGTGCCCGACTTGTGTGTAGCATCTACAGCAGGTCTCCTTCTACGTCCTATACACACCGACATCATCACGCGGCGAAAACAATACCGACGTGAACGCGTCATATTATTTATTGGGTGGGAATCGCGACAATCAATATCAGAATCACTACCGAGCGAACCACCAATCTTTGAACTAACTTTATTGATATGTGGCTATGTTGTTTCTTAGTTGTATTTCGTTGAACCGATTTGCTTTATTGGTACCGAATAACAGAAGAAGACTTGAAGCTGCATACCAGTAATGATCTGCTGTATTTCGCAATTCGATTTTAGCACGACCGACAACAAACATCATGTAGATATTTTCCAGACGAACGACGACGACCACTACCACAGCGATCTCGTTAGCCGACTGATTTTTATTTACAACGCAGTATACTAGATCACAGCGCCGAAGTTGTGGGTCACTTGGCTCGCATCTTCATCGACGGTCTCGAACACTTTTGATGTTTCGTGTCTTGTGCGCGGTGCAGCGCCTTTTACTACTGCATGCCTTTCCTAGTCACTTCTCAGCTTGTAACACTTTGACACTACGCGACGTCATCATCCACCGCTCTTGCTTTTGTTTTCTGGACAATGGCTGCGCAGGATGTGATGGAACTAGGTGGATAAAGTGCTAGTAGCTCTTGAGGTGACTTTGTATTGTTGATGAGCTATTGTTTGGGAATATTCCTCAGCACTGTAGAACTTCCCCTACCACGACTTTTGCTACTACTAGCCAGGGGGTTGGTAGTTTCTATCACGCTATAATTTTCCTCCACCTTCTCTAAAAAGTAAAAGTAGACGCCAAAGTAACAGCATCGCCACGAACCGCGCTTCATCATCAAGCAGCGGCTGTTCAACTTTTCAATTCTATGTAAGGCTGAAGGCGCTGATGATAAAAAGATGAGGCGCGCGCCTCATGTTGTTAATGTGAGGTTGATAAAGTTCTGATGTTGTACTAGCAGTTTACTTTTATCTGTGCGATGTAAAATCCCAGCCCCAGCTTCAACTTCTGCAGCCTCTCCTACAATCGTCACCGTTGTAATCCGCTACGTCAGCAGCTGTTGCCGTTATTTTATTGCTTCTCTACTGAGATATAGTAGTATTTCCTCGGACAGTTGCGGCAGTGGATCGCCGTCGGTAAAATCTGGTACCTTGAGATAAACAACTACTACACTGCACAGATTTTTGATGACTTCATGTATAATTTGTCTATAGGTTGACGCTGCCACGCACTTTTATCATCATATGCCGCGCAGCTTCTGCAGATAGAAGCAAGATAGCAGCTGACCTGTAGTTCGCTTTTATTTAATGAACCAAATATCTATGCGAGTCATCTATTATGTGGCGCCTCTTACTTTCATCTTGCTTTCGTATCCCGTAAGTAGATAGGGAGAAATGGCCTGCACTTTAAAGCAGAGCAGCTGCTGAATCAATGCAAATGTTGTACCGCCCGCAATTCGCCAGAGGTGAGACTCAGTGATGTAGTGTAGATCTATGCCTGAGGAATGCTGATCACGGGAATTGTAAGCAGTTTTATAAAAGTGACTGCTGGGTGTGAAAAATGATGCGTCGTCGGCACCAGCATGGTTGTCGTAATCGCCAGCGCCGTGTCGCTCGTGCGATGTTTGTGTCGAAAACATTGGCCATGCTGCTGCAGCTGTTCGTCATTAATTCTAAATCGATGTTGTCGGTGGAGGTATGACGATGATCGAGTCGGTATATCTGCTGCACTGCAGCTCGACGTGCTTCGTCATCTTCTCTGCATCATCTGGCCAGGTAGGTCGTGGCATCTTGAACAGGCAGAACAAGAGCTAGCTGCTGCGCTGCAGATAATCGTGGTCGGTTCGTTTTATTGCGTTGTCGCTATCGGATTTGCGGCACATGAGCGACGCACCCCTCACCAAAATCGCAACTCGAGTGCTGCGAGAGATAGAAGTACCAGAATCGGCCGCGTTTGTTGTTGCAAAAGTAGAACTCGCGTTGAGAGATGAAGATGAAGACGAGCAAGACGAGACTGCGGCGTGAGTAGTTGCAGCTCGTCACCAGCTACATATGCAGCAAGTGTTACTTCATCATAAAATCTACCAGGTTAAGACAAGGAGCGGATAGAAATGATTGTCGTGCTCCTGCGAGAGTGATGAAAAGGTGCGCACAAATTACAAACGGCGCCTGTAGCCCCCCCCATTGACAAGAGTGCATGCGAGTATGAGCAATAGCATCAGCATGAAAGCTGTAGAAATAGAGCATTAGCTGCTTCTACACGAGCTCTTGTTCATCTTCAAAACGACTGCTGTTTATTTTTATTACGTGCAACTACTTCTATCTTTGTGCAATTTAGATTCAAAATGCCGAAACGAGCTGGCGCGAAGCCGCCTCCTCCGGCTCCCATGCCCATCGCAGGCTTTGACCCTCCGGTGAACCATCAGCAGCAAGGTCCTGCTCCGGAACTACCACCGATAGTGCATGTTCCGGAGCCGCAAGTTGGTTTAGCAGGTGCAGCTGCGCGACCGGTGCATACCATCGATGTGCAAGGTGTCCAAATCAACAAATCCCGCTACCTCGCCAGTCGCGCTACCAATTGGGGCGAGCCGATACGCGATCCCGTTGGCTACAAGATAAGATGGAGAGTCAGGTCCCTCTCCGCTTCCACGAATTTCTCGTACTGGCGGCAAAACACGGCACCGGAATTCATCCGCAGTAAGTACAACCTCGGGCGCAACGCGATTCCTTACGAGTGCAGTACGAAGGAGCTGGTCTACTGCTACATGTACTGGAAATCGTTGGACCAGGCGATGTTCCGGGCGAAGTGGGACGGTTGTCCGTTTCTGAACCACCTCGAATCGATCTGGAGGGAGGACTGGCCCGATGAGCCGGATGGTGTGAAGATGTACATCGCGATGTACAAAATAGAAGAATGGGCAGACCAACACATGAAACAACTGGGTCGCGATGCCAGCAAGTGGAGAGATCAGGTATTGCTACGGCAATAGCATCCACTGCGACTCATGAGCACCATAATTGCATTACAGAATCTTCAAAGTGAGACGAAGATGAATTTTTATACACTCATGCTCACCACCTCCACTCTTGATCTTGCTGGGCATGATATTCGTCTTGGTTTCATTTGTGTTTAGAAGTAGAAGTGAAGATGACGCAGTTGTTTTTGCGCATGACAAATCTGAAACCACCCTCAACTTGTCAGGAATACGCCTTGCGGCGCTATTTTACGTTCGCGGCATTTCTCCGGGACCAAATGTGGAACGATATGCCGAATCGCGGCAAATACATCAAGGAGATAATCGATATGGCGCCATTTGCTTTGCAAGGTGACGTCGACGAGCTCAAGAGCAACATGTGCGCGCTGAATTGGGATTATTCCACCATTTACAAGAGACACGTCTACGGGGCAATTGTATAGTAGTTTTTCTGCGCCTTGTGGCGGTCCTGCGTGAATAATAGAAACAACAAGAATGAACAACTATCCTCTTCTACTTCATCTACTTGCTCTTGTTCTATGCAATACAAAAAAGCATCTTCATCGTCGTGGTCCAAGGACGTAGCTTTTCATGCTATGGAAACATACATAACTCGTCCCACGCAACCAACTTTCAGGCGACTACGATCATGCAAACGAAGATCGACAACACCGTCCCGATGCAGGTGCTGGACGAAATTGAGAAAATCAACCGCTCGTGCGAAGAATTGGCTCAGGTTCCGTTGGCGTTTCAAGAAGCGGGGGCGGACGTCATGCGCAAGAGGGAGGACTACGAAGCATGCAGCTACAGCGCTTCGAACATCCTGGCCATGTGTTCGCATTACATGGGCTCCGATTTGATCGAGACAATCTACGAGGACACTCACACCACATGGCGCGAAATGAAAATCGACTCGTTGCTGGAAGAGACCAGGCAGAATACCCGGACCAACGCAGAAATCCACCTCCACTCGGATCAGGGGAGCCCGGAGTGTCGCTGTGCCCAGCTCTTCCACTGTCACGCGCCAGGTGTGTGGCGGCTCGAGATGGCGCACCGACTCGCGAACGACGTGTATCAAAAGAAACTTGCTTGCGGCGCCTCCAGCATGACAAATTGCAATTTTTGATGCATCTAAGGCAGCGCAAGTCTATTTTCTTTTGATACAAGCGCTGGCCTCCTCCCAGAATGGGAGGAGGCCGCGATTTGCTGGAACAGTTTCTGCGAAGGACCTATGAAGAAAAAAGAAAACCAAGGACGGTTGCTGGCAGCGCAGCAAGACGCTGTCAAGCTTGCCAAAAAGGAGCCGCGCAGGGTCAGGGCCATGAAGTGGGCTGCGGAAATGACCAGAGAAGCAGGAAAAGGAAAAACACCAGCTGACGCCCTGTCTATACGTATTTTCTCATTAGATTTTACTTTCAAAGTGCTTGCTTTTCATGAAAAGTCGTAGAATTCTCAAAAATCTGTGATTTTTCATCAAAAATCATTGATTTTTCATCAAAAAGCGTTGATTTTTGTGCATTTCATCACAAAAAGCGCTGTTTTTGTAAAAACCGTTTCACGATGGTACTGCACGTTTTTGATGCATCCGATACAATCAAGATTTCTTAAAGTGAAAACTGAATGAAAATCTAATGAAAATCTAATGAAAATCTAACGAAAGCAGGTTTTTTCTCTATTACGAATTCTATTACAAAATACCTCAGCTCTTCGCATGCTCCACGAAACCAAATGCCGGTGGCACCGCACGAGAATGCTCATGCTTTCCATGCAGACTTGCATCTATCGCCTCCTCTTCGTCTTGCACCTCATGATTCCGGACGAACTGCGTGCGAAAGTTTCCGAGGTTGAGGTCGAGAAAGTGTTGACAAACCACCGCTGCGGACAGATCGAGTCGCTTGACGATGATGACGACGAAGCAATCAAAAAAGTGAAGGATAAGGACGGCAAGAAGTGGCAGGGCTACCCATCGGAGATGTCAGACCGTCTCGAGAAGCTAATCTGCCCCTTGAAGCGGGAGATCGCGGACGCGCTTACTCGGCGGCATTTCGCCTTTCACGTGCTGCTTGAGGCGTTCAACGGTTGTGCTTCCTTCGAGTCCCCCTCAACCTCTCTCGAGCTCGTGGAAACGATGCAGGAGGTGCTGGATCCCAGCGCCCGTCTCGGTTCCATCTATCGCACAACCAAAATCCAGGAACTGATGTCGGAAAACCGTCACCGCATTTGGCAATACGTAGGCGCGGGTGCTTGCCAAGCACACGGCACGGGGCCGGTGGACTGCAATGAAGCAGAAGCGCCAGCAATGAAATTGCTAAGCCGCGTCGTCAACAACAGCATCATCGAGCAATATGATCCGGCTTTTGGTCTTTGGGAGTCGTTCAGCAATGGAAGAGTCTACATCTCCTCCCAGGATGCGGCAAGAATCGGAGATATGTCTGCTTTCCCCCTGTCGGTCTCCGCGAAGCGAAACGTCTATCAATGTGAAGAATTCGCGCTACCTCCACCAGCAGCAGAAGCAGCGCAAATAAAATAATATCTGCGTCCACTGGACGCAGATATTATTTTATTTTGCTGATGAAGAAGATGCAGCTCATCATCTACAGCAACTTCTTCTTATCTAAATGTGTGTTGCACGAGATGAGCACGACGAAGCAGAATGCAAATTTGTGATGCGCGAGATGATCACTCTAGCATAACGAAGGACATGAGCAAAGTGACAATATTAGTACTCGTCAATGACGAGTACTAATATTCATCTTCGTCAGCTTCTGCTGGTGGTGGTGGTAGCGCGAA